CAACCTTTTATCACAATAAATATGACCAAATGTATTTCCTATTTGTATTCTGTGACCGTGAATGTAAAAATTGGCTGTATGTCCCAGTAAGCTAAAAATGTATATAACTTGCAAAGCACAGATTGGGCTTAATTTGAGGAAGGACCATGCATGAATTAGCTGCAGTCCAAACCGACTGAAATTACTGTACGTTTCCAGGGGCCATTGTGAAGGCACATTGGTGTTAAGGCCTCTTACACTAATTATAACCTCCTCAGACTACTTCAGATTTGGGGCTTGGCTCTAAAAGATTATTAAAAAAAAAGCAAAAATAAAAGCAAGAACTTCAGTTTTTTTTTTTAGAAACAATTAATTTTTGGACTGAACATTTAATAGCTCTCAACATGATGTTGTCTACACTCTGCTCCAAATACTATGGTGTATACATTGCCTTGAAACAAACAAGAGAAAAGAACCCCTTCTCGACAGTGTTGCATTGTTTTTATACTTTCTTTTTAATGGAAAGATATTCATGTCCAACATCTATTTTTAAAGGCTGTAGATTGTTGACAAACTGCTGATCAATTCTGATGTGGGCACGAAGTGGCTAATGCATGGAACATTAGGCACATACTAGCTTTCTTAAAAAAATGTAATATACTTAGGGTTGGTGGTTATCCGAGATGGTTAAAGTTTATTCTGCTACCATGGACAAATATCTTATTCAACAGATTGGGGTTGATTTATTAAAGGCAAATAGGCTGCTCACTTTGCAATGGAATTTTCACTACAGCTTAGTGAATGAGGAAATTTAGCTTTGCAAAGAATACCCAATTGCCTACAAGGAAAAGTAAAAAAACTGCACAGGATTGGATGGTGAAGTCAGAAAATCTTCACCTCTTCCTTTAAATCCGGAGGAGAATTCTATTGCAAAGTGAAAAGCCTATTTGCCTTTACTTAATCAACCTCACTGATTCAGCTACTTCATTAAACTGAGTCCTGATCAGAACAGTAAAAAGAGAAACATTAGCCGATGACCATCTACAGGTAAAAAAATAACACACGGTAAGAAGTGTGTTTCTGGGCAGTTTAAACCTTTGAAACTTGTTATCTATATGCATGAATCATGACCAAAAATTCAATAGCTGACTGAAAATCAAATTGATATTCTCTGGTTTTCAATTTATCCAAAATCCTTGCGCAGGTTATAATAAAACAAATAGTCTGGTGCAAACATGATGTGCATTACCTCATAGTAACTAGTCACAAACGATCTTTCAGTGGTCTGACTACTTAAATCACTTCTCTGGGGTAAAACAAAAATGCACATACCCCTGAGAGAAATAAAACCTGAAATAATTTACTCCAATTTCACTTTTTTTGCCTTCAGCATAAAAATACATCCAAAAGACCCTGAGAAGAGAGATCTAACTGATACAGAGCTTTGTATTTCATTTTTGTACACAGAACAAAATGAAACAATTTTTGTTATAGCCAAAAAAAAAACCCTTGGAACATTTTTTTGGGAAATTACACTTGTTTAACACCATTGTTACACATCATATACAAATGTAACATACATTAAGCCATCTACACTATCCTCTTTGATTAAATTGGGGCAAATTAAATAAAAAAGTACATAGCTAAATCTCACAATACTGCCCACACCTTGCCAGTTTATAACGTTTAATTATTTGTACCCGTTATAAAAAGTACCCAAGAACAGTTTTAATGTTTCCCATAAATACCCTTAAAGTGGTTCTAAAGCCTTAAAGTGGAGTTCCAGCTGTTTTTGTGTATATTAAAAGTCAGCAGCTACAAAAACTGTAGCTGCTGACTTTTAATAAACACACACTTACCTGTCCCAGGGTCCAGCGATGTTCTGACATGTGCCGTCCCTTCTCTCCTTCTTCACTCCACGGCGCCGGCATCACAACTGTGGGCACCAGGTTGTGACTGCTTGCGGCTTCTCAGCCAGGTGCTCACTGCATATGCACGAGTCGCACTGCGCATCCTGATTGGTCCGGCAGTCTTCTGGGGCCTGTGAAGGTTCCCAGGAGACTGTGGGAGGAAGGAGGGGGCTAAACTTCTGGCTCACTTCACTGCGGTGAACTGAGCTGGAAATGGGAGCGGTAACTGTCAAAACCAGGTACCCGCTCCCCCCTAAAAGGTGCCAAATATGGCTGTGGATGGGGGGGGGGGGGGGGAGAGGCAAACAAGCAGAGCTTCCACTTTTGGGTGGAACTCCACTTTAAAGTTTATTACCTTAATGCTTTCTCTGCATTAAGGTAAAAAACCTTCTTTGTGTCCAGGATCCCCCCCCCCCACCCTCCTTCCCCCCGTTATATTTAACTGAGCCCAATCTTGATCCAGTGCTGTGCACGAGAGCAGCGGCTCTCTCCCTCATCATAGGGCAGATTGATAGCAATGGGAGCGATTAGCTCCTGCTGTTGTCAATCAAATCCTATGACAAGGGATTGGGGGGTGGGATGGATAAATGCCCCACTGTCTGCACCTATGGACACAGGCAACGGGGCTCGGGAGCGGGTCTGCACAAATACCCCTCCAGCAAACGTCTTTCGGGGGGGGGGGTACTTGCATGGCAGGAGGAACCAGGAGCATCGGCGGTGGACCCAAGAAGAGGAGGATCGGGGCTGCTCTGTGCAAAACCATTGCACAGAGCAGGTAAGTATAACATGTTTGTTATTTAAAAAAAATAATAAAGGTTTAGAATGACTTCAATATGTACACAGAAAATAGTTATAAGTTGAATGTCTCGTCACAAAGCTTTATCTTAAAATTATGGGTCTAGTTTGTGCATAACCTCAGCAATGTATTGTTAGTTTAGGGGAAAAATAGTTACCAGGTAGTTCCCTTCCATATCTAGCAGTTTATAGGCTTTCCTTTATCACAAAGATAGCCTTTTATTATAGGCTGCTAACACTCGAAACTACCCATATGGAAGAAAAATATATTTGAAATGCTACAATTTTGGCCATATTCAAATATATGTCAATATATTTGGGAAGAATATTTTTTAAATATATTTCAAATATATTTTTCTTCCATGTGGGTACAAGGGCCCTTCACACTATCCTGCAGCCCAAAATGCACAGCAGGATGTTGAGTTAGCACAAAATGAGTGTTACTTCATGTTACTGTGCATTGTGTTGGGGCAGTCTATACATTTGAATGGACTCCCCATCACACTAAAAACACATTAATGAAGAAAAAAAAATTTTTTTTTGAAAGGTAGTACCTAACAATGCATGGTAGTATGTTACTATGTGCTATGGTGTGCTGAAATGCTTTGGTGTAATATTAAGAATTAATAGCACTACAGCACCACAACATGCAGTGTGCCTTTTTTTGCGTGTTGTGCTAACTGCATGTCCCCACAATGCAAAGATAAGAGCAAAGCCTAAGAGCTATTAGGTTCCATGATAAAGTAATTTCCAGAGGCTGCAATTCAAAGAAGTATACAAAATTAAGAAAAGTCTTGCATTTCAAATTCTTAAAAGTACCACTTTTCCGCAAAGGGGATTTATTCACAAACTGGACTCCAAATTATAAATGAAAATAAATCATAAATGGGGACATTATAAAAAAATAAAAATGATGTATTAAAAAAATAATATATTTTTTTTCTTCAGTTTCCAATATGATTTTACTTTGCCTCCATTGCTTTCAAAGAATGAAATGGAAGGATTAGAATGTATATACTACACCATAGTCATACAGCACCTACTTAAACTTTATATAGTAACATTCCCTGGGTGTGCTTAGGAGGCTGGAATGGATTCCTTTAAAAACCAAGGTTGTTTTATTGCTGACATCCAGCAGGCAGATTACTACCAATACTATGCTTTAAGGAGACACTATATCCAAAAGAACTTCTTTTTACAATTTATTTTGTATAGGTTGCTCTGCTCTTAATGGAGAGTTCAAATAGCTGATATATAATAACCATTGATATAACTCCAGTCATTACAGTACTGAGACCAGAAAAAAAAGCCAAGCTGTACCTTCAAGTATAACGACTAGCCAGGATCTAAGAGGGAAAGAGATGAATGGAGGCAGGTAGGGAATTTGTATCTTTATATTTGGCACATTGTGACAACTGTGTTAAAGAACATTTCCAAACACTACTTATTTAGTGATGAGCAAGGAGTCATTTGGCTATTCAATGTTTGGATTAAACGTGTTTAGCTTTCTGCATTTGAAATCAATTTGAGATGCTTCTGAGATCTTTCATTGGCAGGTGCATTTTGACCTGCTGTTTTCCTCCTTCTGACTTGCATTGGATATCATAAGCTGCACCAACATGTTTCATGCTGCTTTTGCATTCTCAATGACTTGCATGGGCAGAGACGCAATTCTGACACAAGCAAAAGCCAATCAACACAAGCCTTAAAGGTGTCAAAAATGATTCACCATAAAGCTAAATAGTCAGGAAAGGATTCTTATATAAATTAAGTATTCATTACTAGGGCTTCGATTTTCCTTTAAATTATAACTATAGGCAAAACCTTTTTTTTCCATTATGAATAGAGTAAAGGAGGGTTATAATCTTTGAAAGGTTTATTTTTGCCCTCTTTGTCCCAATAAGGAGATTTACCTTCACTTCCTGTCCCAGTGAAGGTTTGAGGAATTTGAGGATATTCCTGCAAATTAAGGGAATCTCTAGTGGTCCCCAAGTTCACCAGACCTAGTGTCCCCATTGCAAGATTTCCCCTCTATTACTTTTCTGGGGGAAACCCAAAAATGTGCGGTTTTCTTTTACTTTCAATGATAATGGTAAACAGGATAAATGGAGAGGTTGAATCTCCCTAACGGGGACACAGACCGCAATAAACACTGACAGGTGCTCTAATCCTTCACTCTTCTATCCAAAACTGAAAAAAGGTTTTGCCTTTAGGTATACTTTAACCACTTACCCGCTGCCCCTTAGCAGATGCTTTGCTGAGCAAAATCACGTAAATATACATAATTTTGCATTTCCAGGTAGGGAGCCGCCCTACCTGCGCTGCTATTGGCTCCTGAGGATAGGGGAGAGACCTGTGTGTAAACAACACAGATCTCTCTCCTATCAGCATGGACTTGCTGCCTCCCATCTCTCTGCACAGCAGAGAGATAGAAAGCAGCAGGCCTGCTTAGTAAAACACAACACAGTACACAATGAAATCACTCCCTAACACACAGTTAACCCTTTGATCGCCCCAGATGTTAACCCCTTCCTGCCCAAACTCATTAGTACAGTCTCAGTGCTTTTTATTAGCACTGATCACTGTATTAGTGTCACTGGAGATGTCAGTGAGTTCCCCCAGTGTAAGATTGCCCGTCGCAGTCCCACAGTCTCGCTAGAAGTCGCTGATCGCCGCCATTACTAGTATAAAAAAAGAGAAACCTCAAAATGCCACTATATATACCGCCATTTGTAGACGCTGTAACTTTCACGTAAACCAATTAATATACACTTATTGGGATATTTTTTAGTAAAGACATTTTTGGCCTAAATTTGACAAAATTTTATTTTTTTTATTTTTTATTGGATATGTTTTATAGCAAAAAGTAAAAAAAATTTTTTTTTTTCAAAATTGTCAGTTTTTTTGTTTTTAGCGCAAAAAAAATAAAAAAAACACAGAGTTGATCAGATACCACCAAAATAAAGCTCTATTTGCGGGACAAAAAAAAATACAAAAATTTAATTTATGCACAGCGCTGCATGATTGCGCAATTGTCAGTTAAAGTAACGCAACGCCGTAACACAAAAAATGGGCTGGTCAGGAAGGGGGGTAAATCTTCTGGAGGGCAACTGGTTAAATGGGCATCCTAAACATATATAAAATCAAGTTAGGAGACTATGATTCAGCTACCAAGAATACAGAATCCTGGCGGTACTTTCTTTGGAGCCCAGCAGACAGTAATGAAGACTGATTGAAATAGATGTACATCATGCTATGTGGTGTTATAATTTAACACCATATTCTAAGTTATATACACACCTTCAAGCAGAGCAGTATGGAAAGATTAGTACAAAGTGCTATATATTCAAACTTGAAATAGAAAAAATAACACTTTTAATCCAGTTCTCTTTACACATTTGCAGTGATACATAAATGAACGTGTTACTGAAAAATACATTTTATTTTCTACAATGGCATGGGAGGATTTACTTATGATAAAATAAAAATAATCTATGTGAGTTTGTGAAGATTCAATTTTGTATAAAAGAAAAAAAAAAAAAAAGGTCTTGGACAGTTTTTTTTTTTTTTTTTTTACAGAGTCATGGTCGGAGTGTTAGATTTTCTTATGTCAGAACACATTAAACACAAATGCATTTGAATGTTTTCAGATTATGCTACGATGTTTGCAATTAAATATGCAGTAAAGTAGAAAAGGACTCTAAAGTCCTTCTTTAATAAGGCCATTAACAATGTTCATAGTGTAGCAATCCACAACAACCAATCAGTATCTTTCATTACTGGTTGCTTTAACTGGAACAAAAATAAAATTAGACAGGTTGCTTGCTATAGACTACTGCACGCCATTGATCTTTTCTTACTACACAGACCAGCTTGCTACTTCTTAAGCCTTGCTGCACAACACAGCTGACCATTTGTATGCAATCTTTTTTTTATAAAAAGGTAGCTCGCTTCTAGGCGTGTATAAATGCAAACACTGCAAGGCAATTTCATTTACGGATCCCCTTATGCCAATGATCTATAAATTCTACTTAGTGAAGCTAGATATAAAAGCGTGGAGTGTGATTTTAATTGAATGTTTACTGGTTTATACTGTAAAAAAAAATGTAACAATTTCACTATACATGAATTCCAATAAAAGAGAAAAAAAAACATGTCATGAAGGATGGAAATAGGGCTTTTAAAAACAACATTGTTGATGGACATTTGTATTTAAAAAAAATAAAATGGCCAAAAACTACCAACCAGATTCTGTTACGTATGGGCTACAGCTGCATGTTGTAGTATTCGTGTTACAGATGTACTAGTATTCCTAGGTGGCCCTATAACTTGATTGATTTAACTTGATTCACGGTTCACTAACTGACCACTTATTTTCCATGTTCCTGTGGCAGGATTATTGAACATAAGCAATATTTTCCCTGAGCTTGTGTAGGGTTTCCATTCATGTGAGTGTAATATGAAGAATTTGTTACAGCAAATCAAAGAACAAGGAAACTGACAATAAATACACCCCAATGCAGTCTGTGTACGGCCACACACTGAGCATTATTATACTGACAGCAGGCCCCAAGTGTAAGTAAGCCATTGAAATCATTTGTCTGCATTAAGAAACTTCTATTGGAACAAGATGGGAGGGGAAGATCGATGGCAAGCCGACCTCAAACTTACACATGGGTGCATACACTCAGAAATCTCAATCATTAACATATAAAACAAAGACTCATCCAAAGATCTGGATAATAAATAAACTTGCGTTTCCTAAGAAACCTCTTGCCTTATTAGATAGGCTGTTCCAAGCTTGGACAGGATAAAAGCAGTTTGATCAGACTGTTCAAAGAATAGATATCATTTCTAAAGATGGAGGAAATGAAGGAGCATAAAACTACAAAGTTGTCATTTTTTTTTCCTTTTATAATGGCGATGTGATGTCTATCAGCAGCTGTCATGGTACTGATGATGCTTCTTCTTTCGTGCACCTGGCATTATGTGGAGTGGAGTGTAAGGGTATTCCATTAGACACTTGAATGGCTTGTAAACAGAGTATGTAAGGAATTCTAAGGCTGGTTGTGTTTAGACTGTAAGGAGTACTAGGTCTCCCCGCTAAGCTGCAGCTCTGTGAGTCATCCAGCACAAACAAGGACTGAAAAGGTCTCTTGTTTTAAAGGACCAAAGCCCTTTCTTCCCTCAAACTTTATTCCACTTTCCACAAATTCACCAACTCAAGTCAACTGAGATTAGGTCATCAACAGTCTCCATCTGTTGCCATTACTAGCATCATTTCGCTCTTGCCCATCTCTTCCAAGGCACTGGCAAGAGTGTTGAGATCACCATCATCTTGGTGTAAGGCTTCCCATAAGTCCAAGATAACCCCTGTTGGACTGGCTTTGGTGGCAAAATAGTTCAGATATCTAGGAATGAGAAAAACAAACAAAAATTTTAATTTATTTTGATAAGGCCATTTATGGTATTTTAGCATGTATTTAATTATTGCTTTATAATGTTAAGGAATAAAACATAATATATGTGAAAATATTATTTGAAAATTGTATTTATTTTTAACCATGAAATAATTCATAGGAATATTTTTTATTCATCACTTGCAGTCAGAAGGTGATGAATGGGGCAACAGATCCCCTAATCATCAGGCTGACTTGCTACTATGTTGTAAATAGCCTTGAACTGAGTTTAAATAGACCTAAACAGAAAGGAATCAGATTACACATATAGTGCCAAATGGACCCCTAAGTGGCACACTGGTAGACCCGGTCTCGGGGGAATCAATTTCCAATAGTCAACAGGAGGAGAGCTAGTGCTGAGCATGGCGCACAATAAATGTCTTAGAAGCACCTTGGCAAAAAAAAACAGCACAGAGGAAACATATCTGCCAAAGCACTGTATATATAATTCTGTTGAGCAAATCTTGTGATTTAAACATATTTTTACACTGCCCAAACAAATAGGTGATATACACTGTTTATGATTGGGCAATTAATCGGGTTCAGATTCTTTGGAAGGTAAAACTGTAAACATACATATATTTCACCTCCGAGAGTATTGCACCTGTGAGGGAATTAATAAAAATAAAAGGAGTTTTTCAACTGTGAGTGTATTAATAAAGGCATTATCAGTATAAAATGATTGAACCAAAATATACATTAAAGTGTTACTATATTTTGTAGAGGTGATGCCTGTAGCAAGCACTTAGAATCAAAGCTTCAGGTTGTTATGTGAGCCAAACTGCTATTTTTCTCAAGTGCCTGTTCACATATATGCAGATTGGATGCTGTTTGAACCACATTCAATCCGCATGACATGTGAAATAACATTGCTTCCTATGGTGCCTGTTCACATATGTCCAGTGCACGGCTGGTGCAGATTCAGTGCAGTTTTTAAAAAGAGTCATGTCTGATTTCTGAGCAGTGCGAGCCGCTTCAGGTGCAGATTACAGGCTATTGACTTCTATAGGAACAGTTCATAAACCGCATATGTGTCAGCACCTGTGGTAGTGAGCCCTTGTAGATAGTCAACTTGAGTCTAAGACACAGCCTGCTTCTTCACCAGAGCCCCTGATGGTGGGGATGGACTTGCAGCAAGCTGGGACCAGGTCACGGCGCCCGGGTATGCCCAGCTGAGGATGAGGAAACTGCTCGCAGGAGCAGAGTACACTAGGAGACAAACAGGAATCCCGTAGACTAGCAGAGGTCAGGATGGGCGGAAAACAAGCACAGCCAGAGAACGAAGCCGGGGTCAGTACACAAGTAGTCAATGCAGGATACAGGCAATAGCAACACACAGGAGCTCTGACAACTAGGAAGTTGCTCAGACAAAGTAGCCTAGACTGAGCATGTCTTATATAGACAGGCAAACAAGGAGGCGGGCCAGCAAGTGATGGAAGGGAAGGAAATAAAACCCAGAGAACAGCAGACAACGCCCATAGGTGAGCACAGACAAACACACATGTGAAAGGGATCAGGAACAGCACTGCAGCAAGGAGGTAAGAATACACAAACAAGAAATTGCAGGCTAACTTTTGACAATATGTGTGAACAGGATAAGATTCTGAACTAATCCTGTCCTGAACCTGATGTAAACCTGTGCACAGCTACTGTATCAAACAGCTGTGAAACCTGAGCTTCAATCCGCACCGCATAAATATGAATCAACTCTAAAGCTGAAATCCAGGCAGGTAAACGATACAAATTAATGTAGCTTTGTATTTATACACTCTTAAAAGCTGAAATTTATTTCATATTTTTTTATTTGGAGACAACTTCAAACACATTTATATGTAATGGTGTGTATTCTCTTACCCACAGTTGGCTGCTTCTGGTAAAAACCATCCCTGCAGTGTCTCCTTCACAGCTGCTGTATAAAGCCCCCAGTGGCTGGTTCCCAGCGTTGTAAAGCTTAACAGCAGTCTCTGATACTGATAAAAGCCCGCCCACCCACTTTTGGCTTTTCTGCCATCCACAAAACTCATATTACGACTGCATTGTGCACTGTGATCTGTGAATGGAGGAGCAGTTCAATGACAGGAACTCATAACTCATTCACAGAACGCGATGCATTCCGGGAGTGTAGTGATATGAGCAATATAAATGACCAAGAGGGCAGAAGGGGAGTGCCGCAGGATTTGGGAAAATCGTCAGTGGAGATGGCAGAGGCGGGGGGGCACAGCAGCAACAAGAGCCTGGACCCACCCTTGCTATAGGACATCACAGAAGAAGGTAGTTGCGCTCCATCATCTGCAAATATGCTATGCATACTTGCAGGTTATAGCAAAAGCTCACCACTTCCAACAAGGCTTACTTCCACTGTAAAGTGTATATAAACCCCAAGAATGAACAGCTCTTATGTACTACCTATGTATTGATATACCATTAAAAATGTTTTGTTATGTCTGTTTGATCATGTCAGAAATATAGAGGTGTGCTGTGTCTTGTGATCTCTGCTCGTGTTATCTCAAGAAGCCAATTTAGTCCTCCTAGTTTCTGTGTTGGACTACAGATCAATTGGCCTTTATGTTGTGGAGATGAGAAGGTCTGAGTAGTTTATGGGGACATGTGCATGTATTGCAGAGATGTACTGCATATTTTTTTTTTTTCTTATTTTGCCCTGACAGAGTATGCTTTCAAGGGTCTGATGGTTTTTGGAGTTAAAAATCAAATACTCTAGCAAACAGCGGTCTACAAATGCAATCACTGCTAAATATAACAACTGCCATTCAAATCACAACTATAAATCCAATAAAGTCCATGAATGAATTTCCAAAATAAATAAAAATTTTGCATTTGTATTATAGGCTCCATTCACACTTGTGCAACTCATCATATGACTTTGGACACTAAAGTTGCATGACAAGTCATACTCCATGTGTTTCAGTGACAAATGTTCAAACATGTATGACCTAAAGTTGGAGCGACTTCAAAGTAGTTTATGCACTACTTTGGTACGATTTTCATGCAGCGTGAGTGCCATAGACTGCAATGTAAGTCCTCAAATGTCGTGTGAAAGTTGCACCTGAATGTTATACATGCAACAGTTGTGCAAAAGTTGTCACTTATCATTAAAGAAAGCCTAAGTCGTATCCAAGTTCGACCCATCCAAAGTTGCGTCAAAGTTGTACTACTTTGGAGTAGTACAAGTGTGAATGTAACCTTAATGGTCGAGTCTATAGACTACAATTTAAATTTCCATTTATGATAGACAAAACATGAAATATAAAAATGATAGACTTACCGATCCATGCTGAGCTTTTGTGCTAGAAGCCTCCAGTCATTTCCTCTAGCATTTGGGGCATCCAAGCTATTGCAAATTTTCTGCCGGATGGTTAAGGGAATCTTAAAGGCATATGGTCCTAACTGGGTTGTCACATTGCTTCCGGGATGTGAACAGAAAGGATCAAATGATTTGGCATTCTGTTAAAACACAATAAAAATTAAAATGTAAGAATGCTGGATGAAATTTTGTGACAAAATGTATATGTATACACAGTAACCCTTGTGCCACATGAAGGATTAAATACCCTGACCAGCGATAAGCCCCATGCCTCTCACTCAGAGCTGTTTCTACAAATATGGACATTGGAGGAAGAGTGCAGGAAGCCACATTTTATACCCCTGTTCTATTTCCCCAGTGTCCAGAGTAAAGAAAGACATGAAGCTCAACTAAGAAGCTCCCTCTGTACTAAATATATCAGAAATACTTCTGTGTACACAGACACTTTGGGGTTTGATTTACCTAAACTGGAAAGGGCACAATCTGGTGCAGCTCTGCATAGAAACCAATCAGCTTCCAGTTTTTTTTCCAAAGCTTAATTGAACAAGATGAAGATGGCAGCTGACTGGTTATCATGCACAACTGCACCAGATTTTGCACTCTCCAGTTTCGGTATATCAACCCCTTTTTTTCCATGTTTCTGGCATAGCATGGAGTGTTCATTAATGCACATTGACAGAGTATCTACATTTGGTGTAATGAACATATAACAACAGATGTCCTCTACTTTTGTTAATAGTATTTTACCATGGTAGTATACAGTCAGGTCCATAAATATTGGGACATCGACACAATTCTAACATTTTTGGCTCTATACACCACCACAATGGATTTGAAATGAAACAAACAAGATGTGCTTTAACTGCAGACTGTCAGCTTTAATTTGAGGGTATTTACATCCAAATCAGGTGAATGGTGTAGGAATTACAACAGTTTGCATATATGCCTCCCACTTGTTAAGGGACCAAAAGTAATGGGACAATTGGCTTCTCAGCTGTTCCATGGCCAGGTGTGTGTTATTCCCTCATTATCCCAATTACAATGAGCAGATAAAAGGTCCAGAGTTCATTTCAAGTGTGCTATTTGCATTTGGAATCTGTTGCTGTCAACTCTCAAGATGAGATCCAAAGAGTTGTCACTATCAGTGAAGCAAGCCATCATTAGGCTGAAAAAACAAAACAAACCCATCAGAGAGATAGCAAAAACATTAGGCGTGGTCAAAACAACTGTTTGGAACATTCTTAAAAAGAAGGAACGCACCGGTGAGCTCAGAAACACCAAAAGACCCGGAAGACCACGGAAAACAACTGTGGTGGATGACCAAAGAATTCTTTCCCTGGTGAAGAAAACACCCTTCACAACAGTTGGCCAGATCAAGAACACTCTCCAGGAGGTAGGTGTATGTGTCAAAGTCAACAATCAAGAGAAGACTTCACCAGGGTGAATACAGAGGGTTCACCACAAGATGTAAACCATTGGTGAGCCTCAAAAACAGGAAGGCCAGATTAGAGTTTGCCAAACGGCATCTAAAAAAAGCCTTCACAGTTCTGGAACAACATCCTATGGACAGATGAGACCGACATCAACTTGTACCAGAGTGATGGGAAGAGAAGAGTATGGAGAAGGAAAGGAACTGCTCATGATCCTAAGCATACCACCTTATCAGTGAAGCATGGTGGTGATAGTGTCATGGCGTGGGCATGTATGGCTGCCAATGGAACTGGTTCTCTTGTATTTATTGATGATGTGACTGCTGACAAAAGCAGCAGGATGAATTCTGAAGTGTTTTGGGCAATATTATCTGCTCATATTCAGCCAGATGCTTCAGAACTCATTGGACGCTGCTTCACAGTGCAGATGGACAATGACCCAAAGCATACTGCAAAAGCAACCAAAGAGTTTTTTAAGGGAAAGAAGTGGAATGTTATGCAATGGCTAAGTCAATCACCTGAGCTGACTCCGATTGAGCATGCATTTCACTTGCTGAAGACAAAACTGAAAGGAAAATGCCCCAAGAACAAGCAGGACAGTTGCAGTAGAGGCCTGGCAGAGCATCACCAGGGATGAAACCCAGCGTCTGGTGATGTCTATGCGTTCCAGACTTCAGGCTGTAATTGACTGCAAAGGATTTGCAACCAAGTATTAAAAAGTGAAAGTTTGATTTATGATTATTATTCTGTCCCATTATTTTTGGTCCCTTAACAAGTGGGAGGCACATATGCAAACTGTTGCAATTCCTACACCTGATTTGGATGTAAATACCCTCAAATTAAAGCTGACAGTCTGCAGTTAAAGCACATCTTGTTCGTTTCATTTCAAATCCATTGTGGTAGTGTATAGAGCCAGAAATGTTAGAATTGTGTCGTTGTCCCAATATTTATGGACCTGACTGTATATATATATATATATATATATATATATATATATATATATATATATATATATCTCAAACGTTCAGTGGGCTCAGTGTTTCACTGTATCGGTGTCACGGGGGATGTTAGTGACACCAAGTCAGTTCTCCCCCAGTGTCAGAATGCCCACCACAGTCCTGCCATAAGTTGCAGATCGCCGCCATTACTAGTACAAATAAAAAATAAAACCCAGTATATATACCGCCATTTTTAAACGCCATACCGTTCACGTAAACCAATTCATTTACAGGTATTGGGATTTTTTTAAGCAAAGACATGTAGCAGAATACATTTTGGCCTAAATTCATGACTAAATTAGATTTTTTAAATTTCTTTACTGGACATGTTTAATAGCAAAAAGTCAAAAATATAGATTTTTCTCTCAAAATAGATTTTTATTTTATAGCGCAAAAAATAAACGCACAGGTGATCAAATACCACCGATAGAAAGCTCTATTCATGGGGGAAAAAAAAAAGATAAAAATTTCATTTGGGTGCAGTGTTGCATGACCCGCGCAATTGTCAAAGTAACGCAGTGCCGTAGCGCAAAAAATGGCCTGGTCAGGAAGGGGGGGGTAAATCTTCTGGAGGGCAAGTGGTTAAATCAGTTCCTGCATGCTATGCTGGCTACAACTGGTTGACTGTTATGGGAAATATGGGGGATCAGTAATAGCACATTCACACATTCCTATTTTTTTTTTTATATTAAAAGAAGGAGTAAATGTTTCAAAGCACAATGAGAGAATGCACAATTTACATTTTTTTTTTTTTAAGAGGTTTGTTTTAAACATGCCACTGTTTTGTTCTTCCGCAATGCTTACTATTTCATAATAGGCATAAATAATGCTAAATAATGGCCAATCAGTGAAATATTTCCACAGCTAGGCAAATCCTGAATTAATATTTTCTGCTCATTACTCCATCCAAAAATCATTAAACATCTATAGATAAAACTGTCATTAAAGAAACATCAAACACTAAAACTCTATCAAAATATAATAAAGTTAATCTGCTTTAAAATCTTTACAACAGAATGTCCATATAGGGAATTTTATGATAAGAAAGTTTCTTTGATTTACATACACCATTAAGAATTTAAAATACCATTCTCTGACTTTTCTTTCTATTTTTTTAAAAATAAAAATACATTTGAAAATAAACCGTAAATTGAATGTTGCTGAATTACAATCTTTAAATCATATGGTACAGAAATATAATATAAATATAACAATGCAAAAACATACACTAGAGAAAAACACAAGGAAACATTTTGCAGCGTGCAAGTAATATATAATTAAGCCCTGGCTTGAAAAAGAGATTTCTAGTATATTTAAGATGGCAAATAGGTTTTCAAAGAACAATAACTTGTACCAACTCATCAGAATGTATCTTTCATTATTCATTCAATAACATGTTGATGTAAGCTTGAATTGGGTTGAGACACATTTTAGTCCTTAATAGTGACTCCATACCTCTTCCAGCATTGTGTGCAACTGGAAAATCTGTCCTTCACCTTCCACCTGCCTCACGCAGATTTTGCATGTTAGCTCTGTTGAAGCCAGACTGTACCTCTCCAGAGTGAATGTACAGTGCAGCGCTCTCTGGCTTCCACTCCAGATGTGATAAAAAGGAATCTCCTGAAAGGCACAACGTACACACTTTCAGACAGTATTAAAAAGTCCCCCTAGCAGCAAGTGGCACACAGCAGTGCTCAACCATGTCAGAAATAGCAGTTTAACCCCTTCATGTTGATGTCACACAAATATGCAGCCTCACAGAGTTAGGCTTTTTTCCGTGGGGCTGCATATACCTGTCTTTGTGCTGGGAGCACGCAGCACAGCGCACTCCCAGCAGAAAGACCGAGGTGTCATTGAGAGCCCCAGGTCCCGTTCTAATGATCAGGCCCGGGGACTCCTGATTCCAGGTCACATGATTGCTGTGATAGCCTCTGATTGGCTATCACAGTGATCAGTCACTGTAGAGCCCACCCCTCTTTTTTCTTTTTTTTTTCTCTCTCTCCTTGCATAGAGAAAAAAAGCCCCAACTGTTTGTTAAATAAATATAAAAAAATAAAATAAAAAATACAGAAAAAATACCTACATCAAGGTTTGATCTAGTTCAATGCCAGGTTAGGGTTAGTGTTAGGGTCAAGGTCAGGGTCAAAGGTCAGGATTTTTTTTTTTTTTTTTTTTTTTTAATTGGTATCCGTGTCAGTGTGTTATAGGTAAAAAAAAAATAATGCGCACTATTGTTTCTAAGCTGTACTGTGGGTACAAACAACAAATAACATACACATATATGGTTTCACTGCAATCGTCAAGAGCTGGAAAATTTATTTTGGGTTGTTCTTTGGTGGTAGGTTATGGTAGTAACAAGAAACACAAAGCTGAATTGAAAAAAAAAATTTTTTACTATTTTGGGCCAGTTTTTCTTTGATAATAAAAAAAAAAAAAATCAGGAGACATAGATTACTATTTACCATCAAACAAAAGCCCAATTTGTCCTGAAAAAAACAAGGTATAATTCACCTGGATGCACAAGTAGTTGTGATGATATGTATGGTTTAACTAGCACATGTCAAAGTTGCAAAATTGTGTTTAGGCGTTAATATTTATTTTGCCCTTAGGTGTGAAGGGGTTAAACATGTTTGCATACAGCCAAAACATGTTTTCCCTAGAGGGGGTAAGAGTCAGAAGATGTCATTGTTATCTGTATCCCAACAGGGAAGATTGTTCCTTACTTCCTGTCCCTGTGGTACATTCTCAAAAAACGGGATGCACGGGTGACACAGGGACAGGAAGGCACAGCCAGCAATAAAAAACAGCATTAGCAGTTCTATGCTTTCCTCACTCCACAAACAATTGGCTTCTGCTTGTGTCTCCATTGGAGAGATTTACTATCACTTCCTGTCCTGATAGGAAGTAAAAGGAAACAGATGGCAATGATACCCTGATAGAGGGGCTCTGACCCTCCCCTACTAAACCCAAGACTAACTAAAAGGTTTTGGTTGGGGTTGGATTTTAAAACGCCAGTCAACATGATAGGAAATGACAGTGGAAGTCTGCCTAAAGGGAAGAGAAATATTAAAGTGCTTCTAAAGCCTAAACATTTTTTACCTTCAATGCATTCCTCGCATTAAGGTAAAAAAAATGTTTAGGTATTAGTTTTGGCCCCTCACCCCCCCCCCCCTCTTTTAAATCCACACTGTGCGCATCTGCAGCTCATCTCTTCCCTCACTTGCTCTGCCGGGGCACTGGGAGCCATTGGCTCCCGCTGCTGTCAATCAAAGCCAGTGATGAGGGAGCGGGGAGTGGGGCCGAGTTCCGCTGTCTGTGTCAATGGATGCAGCAGCGTGGCTGGGGAACAAGGGGGCACAAGTGTCCCCATGGGAAACAGCTTCTAATAGGGGCACTGGACAGAGGCGGAGCCAGGAGTGCTAGCGGGCGACCCGAGTAGAGGAGGTTCAGGGCCACTCTGTGCAATTCCATTGCACAGAGCAGGTAAGTATAAGGATGTTTGTTATTTTTTAAAAATCCTTTACAATCACTTTAACTGCTTCCAGAACTACTGCTACAGGGTGGCAGGGCTGCGCAAAATCACGTGTATATATACATGATTTTGTAGTCCTGGGTAGGAGGCGCACGTGCGCGCTCTACCTGCTCCACCATTGGTGGCTACAGCTGTCGATCACCAGGTCCCAGGCGGAGATTCCCCGCTGGCACCCGGCGATCGCCGAGGAACAGAGGAGAGGTTTGTATGTAAACAATACAGATCTCTCCCCTGTCAGCTCCAGCATGCTACTTTGTATTGCTCTATGTAGCAGAGCAATACAAAGCAGCATGCTTACACAGTAAAAACACAGCACACAGTAAAGCACACACAGCACACTGTTAACCCTTTGATCGCCCCAGATGTTAACACCTTCCTGCTCTTTATTAGCACTGATCACTGTATTACTATCACTGGGATGAAGTGACACCAATTCAGTTCCCCCCAGTATCAGAATGCCTGCCGCAGTCCCCATATAAGTCACTGATCGCCACCATTTCTAGTATAAAAAAAAAAAAAAATCCCAGTATATATACTGCCATTTCTAAACGCTATGACTTTCACGAAAACCAATTAATTTACACTTATTGGGATTTTTTTTTTTTTTTGCAAAGACATGTAGCAGAATACATTTTGGCCTAAATTTCTGACGAAGTTTGATTTTTTAAATTTTTTTTACTGGAAATGTTTTATAGCAAAAAGTGAAACATATAGTTTCTTTTTTTCAAAATTGTCAGTATTTTTGTTTATAGCTCAAAAAAAAAAAATAAAAAAAAAAAGCACAGGCGATCAAGTACCACCAAAAGAAAGCTCCATTTATGGGGGAAAAAAAAGGACATACATTTCATTTGGGTGCAGCGTTGCATGACCACGCAATTGTCAGTTAAAGTAACGTGTATATATATGTATGTATTGCAAAAAATGGCCTGCTCAGGAAAGGGGGTCCTGGAGGGCAACTGGTTAAACAGGTCTTACTCTCACCAGATTACTGCCTCTAAAACCAGAATAATTTGAGATTTCCCATCACTTCCTGTTTTGTCAGATTAAACCCACTGACCTGAAATTTGGCCAGTAATTTGCTCCTCCACAGTGAATGAGGAATATCATGGATAGATAGGCGCAGGTTGTGATAGCTGTCTTTAAACATCAGTGGCTTTGGTTCTTCTATGAGATAGCCTCCTAAGGTCTTCTCCAGTTCCAGAACTTCCTGCATACAAGACAAAGCAAGCAAGATTTAGCTATGTCTTCAATGTTAAAAGGACTTGTTACCTTGTATATCTGTTTACATGGTTTTATAGCTTGATGAAAACGTATTTTTATCAATACCATTTTTTTTTTTAGGTATCTTTAAAGCATTTCAAGGTTACTAAAACCAGTCGAAATCTTGACTACCAGCTCCACACTAAGTGTAAACTTTCCCCCTTGTCCTTACAGAATTGGAATTGATTGTCTCTACTGTCTATTCAGCAGAGCCCATTTAATCACGAGAAGGAAAGATGTTCTGTCAACCAAAAAAACAAACAAAAAAAACCCCACAGGGCCCAATGCACTTTGCTTATCAAATAAGTCAATATAAACTTAACAAAACAGTTATCAGTTTGCATAAGATAAACTTTTATAGTACAATTATACTAGATTGGACTATTAATAATATTGTTAATTGGAAATACTTAGAAAGGAGATGGCTCTGTTGAGAGGTTCTAGAGCATCTGAAGTACAGGAAGCTAAAGACACGGCCTGATTTTTTATTTAATTATTATGTAATGTCCCAGTTAGTTTGTTTTTCTGAAATTATCTGTTGAGATAATGAGGTTATTAGGAAGACATTCGCTCACTTGCGTGCAAAACTGAGAAATAGTAAAAATAATTACTTTATTTTGCCCTTTAAACACTGAGGAAGTTCTCAGAGTACATTAATTACCTGAGAGCTATAAGGTTAGACAAGTATATGTTGCCTTAATGTGAGTCATTTGAATATTTAAAACGGTAAAATAGGAAACAGTTTTCTACTTTTAATTAGCTTGCTCTTTTTAAGACTGAAAGACTGTTTCAGCTTCTGCATTAAAAAAAGGTCTGCTAATTAATGTTCCAGAATAAACCTAATTTTGTGACTGATTTATCCAGTTAATAGCTAGATTTCTAGGTTACACCGGTTTAGGCTAACAGCTGGAATAAACACCTTTATTTTATTAACCAGAAGTGCCACAAAATCATCTCAAGCTGATGCAATTTGCCAAATGTGTGAGGTTCATCATCAACAAACATTATAAAATTTTAGTTTGTAAAGAATAAGTCTACATTAAAAAGTGGTTTGACATTTTGCTTAAAATAGAACTCTACCCAAAAATAACAAGACAAAAATGAAAAGCCCCTCATTTCAATGGCTAGCATCATTCTGCTCACTTCCTCTAAACTAAGGTTGTCCAGAACCTAACCCAGCTTGTGACTGGGAAGTGAAAGAAGAAGCAGTACAGTGATGAGTTTATCTATCTGAAACTCTTCTCTCTCTCCCTATTAGCATGAACATACTGGATCTTTCAACTGCTTCATCCTCTTACACTCCAGGCCCTGCTGTACAGGGACTGCAAAGGCTTACTGTATATTAAGTTAAATTTAAGTAACTATCATGCTTGAAATTACAAATTAAATTTCATGATGTATTGATGATTATAGCACCGCATTCATTTGTGTATTTCATATTTGCTTAAAGTTCAGACTTAATCTCACGTTATGCTCCCTCTAGATATTTTTCCCTCTCGAGCTGCCTTGTTGTTAACAACATTTAAACTAGGGAAAGGGTGGCAGCTAGCATAGAAAAACATTTGGAAAATGCTACCAAATTAAACACAGCTTTACCAGACATTACTAGGAATAAGAAAGGCTCCTTCAGGGTTAACTATAGTTGAACTAGTCATGGATGAGATATCCCTTCAAAAATTGTACCTGGGGAGATATCTACAATTCCTCTATAGATTCCAGGCCCCACCATAAATTGCTATGAAACTAAGCTGATCAGGTCAATATAAAGCAGTACATTGTATCTTTTTGCTGAGAATAGTAATATGACTTGGTTAAGCTCAAACTCTCTACTGATTTGTATGACGTTGAAATTTTATTGACTGGTACACTTGAACCTAGCTCCTTACATAAAAATGTGCCTTGTGATGTTGTTAAGGTGAGCAAATTTTAAACACAGAAAAGCCAAAAACACACAGATTTTTTATCTTTCTACCTTTAATGCATCTGGTGTATCCTCTAAGCAGTAAACTTTGAGGTTGTATTCCAGCGAAGTGCAAAGAATAGGTGCAAATATTGCCAGCTGGAGCCGCTTTATAGCAGATCTGGAGTACGACTCCCCGACGAAGGCATAGGTACCCAGCTGGTCAAGTAAAATATGACAGGTCTGACTTTCCAGCTGACAATAACATGGTGTGTTAAGAGTTTCTTCATTTAATGTCACAACTTCCTGAAAAACAGTAAAACAAACAGTAGTTTAACAAACTGATATTTACATATATTGAATTACAGTACATACTATGAGATTTACAATTAAATTGAGGGCTTACCAGTCCACACACCAGAGTGTTTTTTAGGGCTTCCTGTGCTTTGTTATTCATAATACAGTGTAGCAAAACATACAACGCTTTGAAGTTTCTTCTAACTTCATTCAGCAACAAAACCACATTCTGCCTCTGGTTCTGATAAGTTTTTCCATCTCTTTCAGGTTCCACATACAACTGCACCGGGGTGACTCTGTCTAGGCCAGCAGACCTGGACACACACATCCTCTGTGCCCTACTGACAAGCCCCTCTTGTCCATCTTGTGGTGCTGCCGCAGCAGGAACTGATACCACAGTCTTGGCCTGGGTGCAACGGCTTTGGCCTGGACACCCACCCACAGCATATCCACTTCATTCACTGTCTGAGCAACACTGGTCACTCACAGAAGCACCAACTGATTGCATTCTCTTTCCTTTGTGACACAAAACCACCTTTCTCTGAACGATCTGCTCTGGAGACACAGACACCCTCTCACTGCAAAAAACCATCTCACTTACCACATTTATGAACGTACATACACTACAAACACCAAAACAAATGGCTTATGATGAACCCAAGCCTTCCCTGCTAACAAACAAGCCTGTTTACTCCTCAATTCCCTGCAATCAGCCAGGTGCCAAGGCCCTGCAGTCCGCTCTTGCTCCACTATCCACCATCCACCATCCAAATAACAGGCCATACACCAAATGTATTCAGCTCCAGCTCACCCACAACAGAGCTTAATCCTGATTAAGTCCTGTTGTGTGAAAAACATGTTGGGGTATGGCCATGGGCGGGATTGAGGAGTGTGCTGTCACTGAATTAAACCTTAGCTGGAGCTGAATGTCTTTGGTGTGCCACCCCTTAATTTGGATGGTGGATTACAAATAACGAAAGCGGTCAAAATCACTTTAACTGTAAATAAAATGATCAAAAACAACCAACATGGTTCGGGGCCCAAACACACTCCCCCTGCTTGATAACGTTGATAGTGTTTGAATAGACTCAATAAAAAGGGATTACAAATAGATCTGTAGTTGGTTGCTTCAAAACAATTCAACGAAGTACAATGCATCAGTAATAAAAGGTTGCCAAAATTCTGCTAGTGTACCAGCGTAAACAGCTGCAGCAAATGGACTTGAATGATTTTGGTCTCTCAAAATGTTGGAATGAATAAGTGTTGGCAGTTCCAGCGCCTCTTGGAGATGTATATAGTATACTGTTGCTGTATATAGTATACTGGTTTTTTTTTTATAGTGACAAACGTTTTGTGTTATAATACATAGTTTTATCATTTTACCAGGAAGGGCGGGGGGGGTTCATGTACTAGAAAACATTTGAAGCAACCAATGCCTTTAGATTTTGTACTAAAGAAAACCTGGTGTTTGAAAGTAACGTTAGTAAGTTATTATTTTCCAGTTAAATAAAAAAAAAAAAGTTTTTAAGAGTAATAATAATCAAGGTGTTCTGCACTCCAAGAGTAGCAGGAAAGTTACAATTGATCATTTTTTTGGTATTATTTTACCTCCCAGCTTCCTTGATGAGACTGAGTCTTCAACTGTAAAATCCAGTCGGATGTGGTGATATCAGCACAATGAGGAATAGTCAGAATGACTGGTCGACACAACAGAAGTCCAGTAGGGCCACAAGTTACAATGGGACTTAAAATTGTCTGTGTACCTTCTGAAGGTAGTCTACAAAAAGAAGTCATAGGAATGTTACTTTGATGTCTGATAAGGCATAATTCCAGTTTATAACCATTAGATGTACAATCACTGGCTCATTATAGCAGGTAAAGCCATTTTAGAACCAATCTACCACTACTACCTAAACATTTGGCATAAATCAGCAAGTAAAGACATGGAAACATGATGGAGTCCTGCATTAGTCAGTGTGGGCACAACCATCATATGGCCAATTTCCACAAACTAATCTTAGCATGCAGCTTGAATCCTGAACATTTGAATCTTTCAGATTTAACTACAATCTTGCATGGCTAACTATGTTTACAATATAGCTGCTGGATACTTGGCTTTAGCAGCTAAAAGAACAAGAGACCTGTAACGGCAATTTGTTCAGAGTATCCTATTCAAAGCAAACACACAATCAACTGAATACAGGTCATACGCAAATATTTGTCTGAATAATGCTTGAAAACACGGACACAGCAGCAAAAAAAAAAAGTGAAAAACATGTCTACAAATGTCACTAAGTTAATACTGCTAAGCCACTGTTAGTCCACAGGAGAGATCATTTACTTACACAGTGTTTTCTCTTTTGTTGATCATCAAATACATTTCATAGTATTTTCCCTGTGGAATGGCTCCATGCGGTATCAGCAAACTCACCCCTGGAAAATTAAATATATCAGTATCAAGTTTCAAGCATGTAACATTACAGACATTTTGAACTGTATAACACTTAAAGACTTTTCAGATGATCATGTAATTTAAGATTTCAAAACTGAAATTAAAAATCTCATAAATATAATGATTCAAACTAAGCAAACAAAAAAAATGTACAATCATAGATTTTCCTTCATGAAAACTATATGAGAGGATCCAGAGATACAGGTATGATCTCTCTCCTCCTACCTCACTATTGGTTGTTTAATAAGATGAAGCCTCTCTGATCATTTAGGAGGCTCAGGAGGTGGGACCAAATTAAACCATTATAGTTAAAGTCAAGATTTGCATTAAAGTGGTTGTAAAGGTGGAAGGTTTTTACGCTAATGCATGCTCTGGTATAAGGTTAAAAAAAAAAAAAACCTTCTGTGTTCAGCTTACCTCTTGTCCCCAGTCCCTCCTAAATACTTACCTCTCATGAGTCTGATCTCAATCCAGCGCTGTGCATGAGAGTGTAACTACCCTCCTCTCTCCTCACTGGACATGGAGGCAGCAGCAGGAGCTGTTGGCTCCTATTGCAGTCAATAGCAGACTGTGAGGAGAGACCGGGGGTGGGACTGAGCTGCACTGTGTGTGGCAAAAGACACACAGAGCCCAGCTCCAGCTCAAGCCAGCACTAGTGCCCTCATAGTAAGTGACTTGCTATCGGTGCACTCAGAATGGGTGAAGAAACAGGAGTGCAGTGGGGAACCCAAGAAGAAGAGGACCAGGGCTGTTCTGTGCAATACCAGGATCTATATTGACTGCCTCCTCCTCTACTAACACTCACCTTCGCTGTGCTTCACAGCTACCCTGTTCACTGTAGCTACATGTAGAAAGTCCTGTGCAAGCCTCAAATCTGAGCTTATTGGCTAGTGCCGATTGGCCACTTAGACGTTGTGCATTGCATAGTGGCAGGAAATACACATTGCTCCCCCTCCTCTCTACCCCACCTGGAAGTATTTAGTATTTTAAAGGGTTTGGGTTGGCAAATGGGGTGGAAGGGAAGTGCATAGCTCACATAATATAACACATTCATGAAAGCTTTCTTGTGAAATAATGTAGTAGAATATAATTTTGCCGTAATGTTTGACCACTATCATTAGAATAGTTTATTTTTGTGGTGGTGGCTAAGTGTAATGGTATAATTTACCAGCAGTTACTGCATCACCACACGAAGCTGTTGAACTCAAAATGTGCAAGAGAAGACTAAAATTACGACTGCTTGCAATTAAGCAACATTCTAGGTTATCAGGAGCCATAATTGCAGTTTTTAGTTAATGTAAGTTATTTTCAGTCCTAATGGTGTTGAAGTGCGTAATATCAAATCAACAACATTGCTACAGCTTTTAATATAATTTCATGCACAAATATGTACCCAAGTCATTTTTTAGATATGAATAAAATTTATTTGAAAGGCTTTTGTCTGGGAATCAGAAACATCCGCTCTCTAGCTATACAACAAGGCAAAGAGCACAACAGTAATTACAATGTTTGTTTAAAATAATAACTTTAATTAGACAGTGATGTAACCTAGAAACTGTAAGCTTAGGTAACAGAGAAAAGATTTTTGCCTATTCTGCAATTTTTCAGTGGCTGCCTGCATCATAATAAGTGATTTGCTGTATAACACTGATTAAATTTTAACTTCAGTCAAAACCTTTTTGTCTAGCCAGTCTGGATAGAATGGGAAAGTGTTATAGCTTCAGTCAGGTTTTTATTGCTTGAGAAACAAGCAAGGTGGTGGAGTGCTGAGTTCCCTGGTGTAGGTAGGTGGCCAGTTGGATAAGCCTTCTGTTGTTGAAGCTTTTGGAAGGCTGCTCTCTGGTATACAATAGCATTAGCTAGACCCTTGTATCAACATATTCCGAAATATAAAGAGAAAAAAGATATTGGGTCCAGGTAAAGCTTATTATTTGTAGCATTTAGTTAAAAATCCAGTGGGGTTGGTGTACTAAAGGCTATTAGGCTGTTCATCAAGGCTAGAAAATGACAGATGTCACCCAAACCCGAATAGAGGGAATATCTCCCACTGGGGATGAGTGTTATTGCTGACTGCCAAATATCAAGATCCTCTCGTTTTGGGGATATTTCATTTTACTTCTTGCTATGTTTGTACAGAAAAAGGGAGGAACACTCCTTATTGAAAACAAAGACAGCAATAAGAAATCTTCACCTTTAACCATATGGCACTACTTCAAATACAGAGTTTAATAAGCAAGTTAAAAATGATAAAATCACCTGTGTTTGGGAATGTTAGTCTTCCACCCAAAGCTCCGAATGTACCCGTCACACTGTTACTGGAGTCGCGGGGTAAAGTCAACAAGTGTTGGCTACTCATGGTTTTATTCCTTGCATTAATGAGGTTAGTGTCTGATGGATATGATACTACAGACTTTGGACCAAGCAGGTCGTCTTGTATTCCAGGAGATGATCCCACTGGAGATGAATTGTAGACTTTAATCTTTAGGTTTGGAAGGGGATCCAGCAATGGAGAGTTGGTCATGGGGATTTTGTCAGCGGAGTCTTGCAAGGCATACATGTGCCCTCGATATATCCCAGCATTGGCTGTAAGATCTGGCTGCATCGATGGGTGTAGTAAATGAGAATTGTCTGGAAAAAAAAGTAATGTTTTGATTAATTTCCATTAAAGTATGAGGTTTGCACAAACATTTCCTAAAGAGGAGTGATCCTTGTTTTTGGTGTGTTTTTATTGAATAATGTATAAATAGAGGTAACAATAATTACAAAATGAGCATGTCTAGAACTAAAAAGATCATAATGTTCTGTCAGTAGTAATATACAGCACTGAACATGCTATAAAAACATTCAGATGATTCTTGCATTTGGCCTGGGTTACAAAACAATATAATTCGTGAGTTTATCCACTTTCTTCTATAGACCGAGAATATATATCCTAACATTAAGTTTTTTCTTTCTTTTACATGTATGTCACAGATCTGTATACTGTAATTACAAAAATATAAAAGGTGTAATTACAACTCCCCAAATGGAATACTGTCGTTATAAGCCTCATCTGTTTTGTTATTGTGACCATCTGGCAGCACCTCACTCGACGGCAGCTAATAAGCGTGCACAGTAATGCATAGGTGAGGGTGTCAAGCACATTAGCCATACCGTGCCTGGAAGTCTTGAAGTTCACCGGATGAAAGCCTCCTGTAAGGGCTGCCGAGGAATCTGTGATGTCAGTGTCAAAATCTCGGCAGTTGCGTCTGTACACGACTATGCCGACAGCCATGAGTATAACAATGAAGATGAAAATGGCAACAACCAGTCCGGCATAGAGAGCAATGTCCCCTGTTGAGTCCAACACTAATAAAGAGAAAACAAGACATTACTGAACAATCAACTGATCATCAACTAGAAACGCTTGTCAATAAAAATAATTTGAAGGGCAATTGGACATGCGGACAAAATCTTATCATCCTGCCAGCTAACAGAGCTAAGTATGGGTCATCTAAGCATTCAGGTTTATGATATGGGGACAACAGGCAAAGAAACATGCAGGCACATCTGGCACAGGCCTACACCAGAGCAAGCTATCAGACAAGCTTTTCCAAACAGCCCCGTCACTAATTTCCTAATGACTTATTGGCCAACAGTGTAAACAGTTTGCCATAAGCATTGGATCATTATGCTATCTGATCAGCTCAAGTTGATAACCAACAAAGGTGTTGCCCTTTGTATACAATTACATTTCAGCAGTCACTGTCCTAGCTGTGGTTAGGCTCCCACCTGATTACCATAAGGTAACAGTCATTTCCTTGGACCAATACCGATTAAAAAGCAGCTGCATAAAAAAAAGAACACTAGGCAGCGTTTATTGTTAAACAACAAAGCACATGCACAAAAAAAAATTTAACACTGGCCAAAACAAAATATGCCAATATTGTAGACATCATGTAAAAAAATAACTGGATCAACACAACAGTGCCAACATTAGAACAATCAAATTGGATTCTTTCTGCATAGAAAACTAAAGGAAAACTATTATACTGACACCAATCACTGCATTTATCAAAACCAGGACTTCAATGCAAATCTTCTATAGACTAAATACTGTACATAAATGTAGATTACAAAGATCAGCAATATATTGAAAGACTCTGTTCTGACATTATGTAATGGGTGTTTGCTTAATTTGTTTCCATATAAATGACCCATTTTATTGGTGTACAATTCTCATATTCTACAAACACAAAATTCCCACATCTCCATTATTTACAAATCATTCTTCCTTACTGTACTGCCTTGAATCCTGTGTCTATAGGATTCCCTATGGTCAGGTTCAAAAACTTAGCAAAAGCATCTGCTTGATCAACATATGGCTACTTCCCTTTCTAGAAAAAGCTTCAGGGACAATTGTTCCCACAGCAAATGAGGCATGGATTTATTCTGTGTACAATTTTATTCATGTTTATCTTAATCATAATAAGTAACTATATACTGTTTTTTGTTATATGGAAGTGACCAGAATCCTTGCTGATCCTTTTTTTTGTAATGCTATAGGGCATAGCTTGTCTTCCACAGAATGATATGAAATTTAAATATAGGAGCTGCTATGGCACTCTCTATTAGGTACACCTGTTCAATTGCTTGTTAACACAAACTGCTAATCAGCCAATCACATGGCAGCAACTCAATGCATTTAGGCATCTAGATATGGTGAAGGCGATTTGCTCAAGTTCAAAACAAACATCAGAATGGGGAAGAAAGGGTATTTAAGTGACTTTGAACGTGGCATGGTTGTTGGTGCCAGATGGGCTGGTCTGAGTATTTAAAAAACTGCTGATCTACTGGGATTTTCACACACAACCATCTCTAGGGTTTACAGAGAATGGTCAGAAAAAGAGAAAATATCCAGTAAGTGGCAGTTGTGTGTAAAAATGCCTTGTTGATGTTAGAGGAGAATGGGCAAACTGGTTGCTGTGACATTCAGATGGTAGAGTCAGAATTTGGCATAAACAACATGAAAGCATGGATCCATCCTGCCTTGTATGAACAGTTCAGGCTGGTTGTGTAATGTTCTGGGGGAGATTTTCTTAGCACTAGCAAGCTGAACATAATAAAGTAGCCGGTGAGTATTTTAAAACCTACAGGCTCCCATGTTGTCATATTCACCCTATTTCACCCCACACTTAAAATAAGTAAGCAGCCTAGAAAGTTGTAAGGTTATGCTATATAAGTTTTAAAAAATCAACAGTATGCAGTACATTATTCCATTTCCCCAGATGTGTTCTACAGGTACAAATTAAATGTCTAGTTATTCTCTTTATTTTCCAAATCCTACTCCACAGAAGACAGATTACATAACTTGCACTAGTGAATACCATAAAGTTGTATCAAAGATGTTAAACTGTATCTTTTTTATAAAGTCATGAATCCAGATGTGTGGTTGATACTGTGGTATAACTGATATGCATAGCTCTGTCCAGTGATCAATGTTTTTTAGCACAGATATTTTACTGCAGGACCAATCAAAATGTGACACTGAAGCTGCAGATGTCCAATAAGGTAAGTATCCTATAGCAGAGGTTCATTTTCTGTTAACATCAGAAATTAAGGTACAGGTTATGAAAAAGGTTTACTCTTAGGATCAGCCAGCATAAGTAGTAAGTGTTAAGGATCATGCACACAGAGATTTGCAGGCACAAATGTCCTCTAGTGGTTTACCCACACATGTGGGTATGACGTATTCAGGGCTTTTTGTCCTCAGGGAATAGGTGCAGAAACTCTTCCTTCTGAGTCACCCCTTGTCTCTGCCCCCTACCCACCTACAAGCACCATCCTTTGGTTCCAATGTCTACCCACCTACCAGTACCACCCCTTTTAGTGAACACAGAACCGTATCATTTTGTGGTGTGAAGTAATTTGTATGCAATTTACTAAAGAAAATATAAAATGCAGTGAATAAGATCCCCTGCTGCCAGCAAAAAATCACCCCCAGCAACAACAGAACCCCTCCAGCAACAATAGATCTCTCAGCAGCAAGCAACAGCAGACCCCTTCCTAAACAGTGGATCCTGCCGAGCAACAATAGACCCTTCCTCATCAAGAGATCCCCCCAGCAACAATAGATCCCCCAGCAGCCAGCATCTATAGACTTTCCAGCACACCCCATCACTCCTTGCCATTACATACTTTCAGTGCTGGAGGTGCCAGAACTGCGTTCCCACTGAAAAAAAGCCCTGGCTGTATTCCCTAAACACAAAGCTTCTCATTATTTTCCTGAGCCTAGGAAGTTGCATGTGGCGTAGAAATGAATGGCTGTACCCACCTGTACCTCTCGTTGAAGTTTTGCATTTGGGGGAATATGTCATACCCACATGCATGGGTAAACACTAATGAAGAAAAGCACTAGCATTTACACAAGTACATGCGCATCCAGCTATTAACTTCTATAGCCAACTGCACATGAGCCCTTAGGGTTTAAGTAGAGGGAGGGTTAATTGTTAGGGTTGTTAATTGTTAGGACTTGAGAGCAGTTAAGTGTTAGGGTTTAAGAAGTGGTATGGTTAATAAATAGGGTTGGGGTGGAGCAAGAGTTGTTAGGGTTTGAGAGCAGTTAAGTGTTAGGCTTTGAGAAGTGGGATGGGTAATACTAGGGTTGGGGTGGAGGGAGGGTTAATTGTTAGGGTTTGAGTAAAGGGAGAGTTAAGTGTTAGGTCTTAGGTAAAGAAAGAGTTAAGTGTTAGGGTTTGAGTAGCGGTAGAATTATGTGCTAGAGTTTGCTTAGAGGCAATGAATAAGTTAGAGGCTAGAGATACTTAGAAAAAGTTGTTTTATTATTTTTTTACATAAAAACTCCAACACCAGGGACATTAGCAATGAAAACTAACACACTGATTGGCCCATTTTGCTTAAGAAGAAAATAAGAACCTTGCATATATGGGAAAGGGCTAAATAAACAAAATTGCCCATATTGATCATTCTGCTTGTCTTTTAATATGTCAGTAATTAGGCCTACATTGATTTATATTTATAATACTGCTGATTACAGGTGTCCAAGCAAATAACTGGTTTTTATTACAAAAACCAGTGCAGTAGCTGCTAGTATAGACTTCCATGTTTTTACAGATTATAATATGGTAACCTTCACAATGACACTAGGGCAGGTCACAGATCAGCGGTCATGCAAAATAGGATAACAGAACTCAAAAGATGAATTAAAATGAAAGTGATGAAATGAAACTTACAATGACTTTTTGGTTCACCTAAAACTCTCTTGTCTGTTAGAAACAAAAACCAAAATTAAATTAGTTACCCTGGCAAAAAATGGAGTCAATACAATGGGTGACAATGAAAAGAAAAACAAAACAAAAGCATTGATTACATGGTAATGGATTGTGATTGAAACTGTCATGGAATGAAACCGTGAAAATCTTTCAGCTGGCATTCTCTATAAAAATGTAACCAAAAATCTACTCTCTGGCATCATTCATAATATTAACTTTGCATTTTGCCGACATCTCATCAGCTTGCAAATGAAAATATGACTGTAATTTACGTGCAAAAATCTATGTTAGGAATAACATAATAATAATGTCATATCAGCCAAAATTCACAGAACAAGTGAAACCAATCCAAGAACTGTAAACGCTCTTTCAAATTCTTGCAAACTCTAATAGTCTGCTGGATTTACCACTGAAATCATATTTAACATGTCGGGTGTGTGGGTCCCCTTCCTGCATTTTTACTGTGAAACGCTACCTGATTTAAACATCTCTTAAAATGAAAACCTAATTGGAGATCATATAAAATTTCTTATAAATAGGTGTGTTTGGAAATCTCTTCTGCATTCAAATTAGGTGTTCCCAGTCAACCAACTGGGTGGACTGGTGCGCAACTACAATGCCCGAATGATAATTAGAAGCCTGTAGCGAGCATACTGTGTTCCCTGAAAGCACATCAAGGCTTCACTTCTCAGTGTGACTTGAGAAAGATCAACAAAAAAGCTACAATCACAAAAGGAATTATCAAGATTAATCCTTAATCCCAATATAAAAGCAAATTTGTCAGAGCTAATAAATCCAAAAACTAAGTAGGTCTATTTTAAGAGGCTTCTGACACATATAAAATAATGACATTTCTTTCCCGTCTACCCTATCAATCCTCCTGAAACACACTAGTGACAGCACCTGCTTGGTTGAAATGACTAGTAATTTAAGTCAATATGCTGTATTCGAGAAATGGAAGCTTTTGCATACATTACTACAACTTAAGACATGGCAGCTTGTTTTATTTAAAGTGGTCTGTTAACAATTGTATATTACTGTGCTGCCAATTATAATTACTATAATTATAATTATATATTATTACTGTTTTGTATTGTTGTATATACTGAATGTGGAACTTTAAAGTACAGGTGTTTCTTTATCTAAACTTTGCCTCCCAAGCTAAATTACACTAAGGCAGGACATACACTATGCAAAATTGCTCAATTCCCCCTTCCTCACAGTTAGTGTTGATGGGGAACCCTCCCGCAGTGCTACTGCAGTTGGCAGTGATCAGGCAGAAAAATCTTGACAGTCTGCTTGTACTGAAGTCGATTGATGTTATCAACAGTTTAGTACCATAGTCCAAGAGCTGTGGCCGCCACCATTGTTTACAGCCCGATTAACAAAAATCTCTTCAGCACCTACCTACCCACTAAGTTCCAATAGGCTTTAATGGAGCCATATATCAAGTCTTGATATAAGGACCATTCAACTTAAGTCAATCAAAAGTGAGCAGACACGAACACAGCTGAAGAGATTTTCTCCGAACAGGCTGTAAGCAATCAAGGAGTCCGCTGCTCTGGAAACTAAGCAAGCATCTGCATGTGGGAAAGGGAGGTTAGTGTAGTTTAGATTGGGGAGGGGGTGGTTTAGCAAAAATTTAAGGGTGGCTTAGTAAAAGTTTAGAAATACAGATGTTCTTTAATGGCACCAAGGAAAGATTTTATTGTCGTTTGTCCGAATTAGAAAATTATAAAAGGGTACAATTGCGGTAGGCAGCCCTAAGGCTAATGTTAAACACCAATATTTTAAATATTCTTTATAGATTAAAATTTCTTTCAACTCCTGAAATAGCCAACACTTACTCTGCATACACAAGCCATCCGTGCAGTTTTTGGAATCTAAGGGCACGCCACTGCAATCTTTCCCACCATTTTTAGGAGTGGGTGCGTTACATTCCCTGCTCCGCCAATGCGTGCATTCAGTGCTGCAAGCTGACCACTTGCTCCACTCAGTCCATCCACCGTCAACTAAATCCAAAAATATAGCAAAGCAGAAGATTAATACGATAAAGCTAACTGAAGAAGGCTCCTAAGAAAATGGTCTTTAACAAAGCAAATGACAAAAACTGTGTACACTGCCTCATAACTACCATTTGAACTTGCAAATGTTAGGCCTGTAGTGGAAAATGACAGCTGAAATATGACTGGGCTCTTAAGCGGCAACACAGAGAGTAAGCTTCATTTAACAGTGAAAATTGTATGCATTACCCCATAATTCAAAGAGAGATTCCCATTGTCGTTTTCAGTGCAAGTCTTAATTTGATTAGCTGGTATTGGTCAACACAAACAGCTATTATTTCAGATGTTTTAACAAAAGGGACCCAATGATTTAATTCTTGTCACTAAAGGATGCAGTGTTGTAGGTATGAAGGATAAAACATAACACAAAAAATGAAAAAAAAATAAAAAATTAAAATGAGCTACTGACAAAGCCCATTAAAGTAGACCTGAACTCTAACTGGATGACATTTAGTATGCTAAGGCACTGAGTTTCATATAATAATTACCATTTTTTTTTCACTATTATACTTTTCACCTATTTGAGGCTTTTATTTTACATCTCAGTGCTGCTGATCTTCTACAGTCTCTTTTAGCCACTTACTGTCTACATTCACTGGTTCCAGTGGCAGCTGCAAGTCATTGCTCAGGTGAGCTCTTCACCATGATAATGGCGTCAAAAGCCTGTGCAATGAGCATTGACAAAGCCCCTTGTACTTACCAAAAATGCATGTGTCAGGGTGAAAACGCAGGAGAAAAAGTGGGAGACAGATACAGAGTGGCCATTCCAATAATAGGAGCTGCCTGACACAGACTTTTATGACAAGATTATCAATTATTATTTTAATGAAAGCTGTAGATTTAAAAGGAGTGAAAATAACTTTTGCAATTACATATTAAACTTTATCTGTGATGTTAGCTTATCTGGATCTATTTTAATTACTGTAAGATCATTTGCAAATGACTTACAAAGACAACGCTTCAAGAAAATTACACATTACAAATGACAGGTTAGTAAATTAATAGATTGAGCAGAAACTATTGTGCTTTTTGTACTGCCCAGAACAACGCGAGGCAAACAAAATCTCTTACATGGCACAGTTCAGAATATTGTATTTTTACAACATAAATTAAGAGCTGAGAGTATTATTAGAAGATGACAACCTCGAAAACACATACCTGGACACATGGTTGTGCAAGCAAGTTTCTGAAGTGGTTGACCATCGCAAAAGGCCCCACCATTGAGTGGCGTTGGATTAGTACACATTCGTGTCCTCTTTTGAATACCCCGACCACAGGGGTTGTTACATGATGACCATTCTGACCAAGAAGACCACCCTCCATTGACTACAATAGAAAATGAAAATGCAATTTACCAATTTAACATAACAAAGAGGCCATTTTGTCTTCCAGTTTCATTAGGAAAAAATGGATGCGGCATGGACTAATGACTTATGAAACATATCGGAGCTAATAGCACGCAGAGAAGAAAAATCAGAAGAGAAAAATAACAATTGTCTTAACTAATGACTTGAAAATATTTATAACCATCTGGTAAGCCACTGTCCAGCCTGGAAATATCTATGCCACCCACTGTCGGCTGGGTAAAGTTGGCACACAAACCCCATTAACAGGTGCTATGGTTATTATAAGCAGATGTAATTAATTTAGTATGTTGAGAGTTGCTAAGCGGTACTTAGTTTTATTTTCCAGACATCTGCTACTTGAATTGCAAGCTTTGCTGTGCAGAAAAACATTAAACCTCATCAGTCAATGTACTGTAATTACTTTGGCTCTATGACTGGTAATAACTTACCCCAGATATATTGACTTTTAAGCGGGTTTTTGTTCCAAACTAGCTGTCAAGTGTCACGGCTAATCAACAGGGAGCAATTGGTCAACAGAAGAATTAAACATTTGGAAGGAAAATGCAAATTGAAGGAACAGAATTGTTAGCCAAACTCACATGCCCTTTAATATGCAAGATGACTGTTATTATAATTTCTTTGCTCTAGTGCTGAAGGGGTACTATTAATCTTATTAAAAAGGTAGGTGTGAAGGGCAACAATTAAGTGCAATAAGCAACAGTAGCCAGTCATGCCAAACTTAAAATGCCTAAAACAGAAATGTGTTTCACTGCTATTGATTTCTTGCGCTTTATACATCACCGTTGCTTTTTGCACTACCTTACTGAACCTGTCTATATGACTCACAGAGTTTTCCAATACGTACCTGCCAGTAAAAAATATGTCTTCTTCTCTTATTATCAGATAGCTCTAACATGACATAACTAGATTATGCTGGAGTTCCTGCGTTTACTTTTTGCTGTTTTGTTTCAGAACAATCACATCTCAGGAACGCTGTACAACAGTCTCTTCATGCTGTTCACTTCTTGGTTAAGTAAATATAACTATTCTTTTGCCAAAATGTTCTCAGATTTGGTGCTTGATGAAAAAATAGGTATGACTGTTGCCCACCTTGCCCTCCTATGCCACTAAATGGGTCTCTGACCTGGGGGTACAGTTGGAGCAGGAAGATTGGGATGGAATTTGGGCAACCACTAAATCCTCTTCGCACAACATTCTTGTAGCTGAAATCAATTATAAAGTTATGATGCAGTGGTACCTGGTCCGGCAAGAATCTCTAAATTTCTTTCAAAATATCCCCCTGTATGTTTCCGAGGTTGCAGAGAATGTGGAACACACTCCCACACATGGTGGACTTGTCTGGTTGTGTAGCACTTTTGGCCCAAGAATATTAGAATTTTATCCACTTTCACCAAAACCACCATAAAAACCTGATCCCACCCTTGCCTTACTAAATCACTGCACCCTCGATATATCAAGTGCCCAATCCTGACAGCCTCCAAGCAAACAATAGCTCAGGCTTTGAAGACTCTGTCCCTTTGTGTCCTGGAGATGAAGCTTAGAGTTATGTAGGCCATGATCCTCAGTAAAATTGAAGCTACCTTATCTGATATGATCCATAAACACCTCAAGGTCAACTTTTTGCCACTTGGTTTTGACACCTCCCTTCTGAACCCCTGACCTTCTAGTCTTCTACCTAACGTAATAGTAATAAAACAGCCCTGACTGATCTTGGGCAGCTGACCTCTCGTCCCTCCTGTTTTCCTCCTTATCTTTTCTTTATTCTTTTATTTTTTTTTCCCCTACTCCTGAGAGTTTCTCATTACAGGCTTTAGCTATAAGGTGAACCCTAATTGCCTATGCTTGGCTTTAGGTTCAGGATGTCTATATTTTCCATCATGTGCCAAGTATATCTTTAGGGGGCTGAGAGCTCCTTTAACCAATTTTAGAGCAATACAGTAGTCTGTTTCCACTAGCAGGCACTTCTGCATTGCTTTATTTGCCTTGTTGATTTGTTAGTATTTCCTGTGGATGTGACACCCACGTGTTATTGTAAACTTCATGTTTAGCCCTCATGCACACTGGACGTTTTGATAACACTGGTAACGTTAGCTATGTAAAGTCACATTAAAAATGTGAGTTTTTCAGCTTTTTTTTTTAGTGTTTTTGCATTAGCTTTTAGCCGCAGTTAGCGGTGTTTTCCTGCGTTTGTGTGTTTTTTAGAGGTTTTTTTTTTTTTTTACCAAAAAATTTTTTTTCTGTCAAAAAACATTGGTTTGAAGCGTTTTTACCACGTTTTGCTGCATTTTTCAGCATTAGAGCGTTTTTACAGCTAAAAAAACTCCTCTAGAAACCCACTAGTCCTGGGCTTTTTTTTTTTCCAGCCAAAAAACATCCCAGCCAAGAAATGTTGATTACAGTCTGTGTGCATGGACACATGGGATAACATGTTGGGGGGTTGACTGGCTGTAGGAAAAAAAAAAAAAAAAACGTCAAAAAAAGCCAAAAACAGCCGCTGTAAAAACATCAAGTGTGCATGAGGACTAAATATGTTTTTTTCATCACTTTACTTACTCAATAAAAATATTCAATGAGAAAATAGGTATGACATTACCTAAATATTGTGTGTTTAAGCAGTTATGGATTAGATAGAGACCTCCTTCTCTCTAGTTCCCTGGTCTCCTCCTCCCATGCCCGCCTCCAGGACTTCTCCAGGGTGTCACCCATCCTCTGGAACTCCCTGCCCCAACCCATCAGATTATCACCTACTCTCCTCTCCTTTAGGCACACCCTGAAAACCCATCTCTTCAGGGAAGCCTACCCCACCCCCTGCTAACTTGCCGACCTCCTCCACTCTTCCTACCACTCCATCCCCCACAGCTATCTCCTCCTGTACCACTATCCCCTCCCTCCCAGATTGTAAGCTCGAAAGAGCAGGGCCCTCAATCCCCTCATGTTTTGCATTGTATTGGTATTGTTCTGTCACATGTTTCTGTCCCCCTTTGTAATGTACAGCGCTGAGCGAACTATTGGCGCTTTATAAATACTGTATAATAATAATAATAATTTGTTAACCTAATTCAAAATAAGGTAAAACAAAACACATTTTGCTGCAATCCTTTGTCATTGGACATCACTTTCAATTAAATTAATATTCCTGAATTAAATTTTTATTATAATGTATTTAATGGTGATTGTTAGGTGATCGTGTCTAATTATTAAAACAGATAAGCATTCAGAAAGTCATAATCCTAAAAGCCGACCTCAAATGTTTCCAAAGTTATACTATCACACAGTAATAAAAGTTCCCAGTGCAGATATTATGTATTTTTAGCTCAATACCCAGGAAAGCTTATTTTAGAGAAATAGAACTGCTATGGCAGCTTGTTTTGGGTAATTGCAACACAGAATGAAACTGACTGCAGGTTTTATACATGACAGGTACGGGTTTGAGATTACAGACAAGAAATATTTCTGTGCTAGACATTCACAGTTATTTCCCAAGACACAGACGTGGGGCCATCATGTTTATGAGAAATTGGTTGCCTAAATGTGACTGTCTCCCTCTGAAGACTTCGCATGTAGAAGCTGAAGGACATTCCTCAACTATCGCCCATTGTCTTCATACACCTAAATCAAACCAACTCACCTTTACCGGCAGATGGTTCACTTACACTGCAATGAAATGCCATTAATATTTAAGGGAATGTATACCAGGTTTACACATTTGCTTTATTTGCACACTCCTTGTCTCTTCTGCATTAAAGATCCTAACTGTTGGCAATTGTTTATTTTCTAATTTAGACCATTTGAATAACAATGTAAATAATAATATAAAAGGGTGACTACCGCTGAAGGATTGTGTTTTGAAAATGCTATTAAACAGATATACACATCTTTACATTTATTTGATAAGTCAAGGATCATTGCAGCCCAAAGCAAAGAATCTGAAGTCATTTTTCATTAAATCAGACTGGTATTTATGGGTTACTGGGATTTGCACTGCCATACTGAATACAGCAAACTGTATATAATCAACCCGTTCACTAAACTGTATAGTGAAACAGTTTGGGTAAATAGAAATGCCTCCAGAAACTATCTGCAAAATGGGAAAGCATTTATCTCAGTTCTGTAATGCAAGATATAGTGAGCGCTCTTAAGTAGGCAGCAGCTGAAACACTTAAGGTAACCACAGTGACCTCTGTAATAACTAAGAACAAATAAAGTGCAGCGCTCAATGTATAGATGAAGTAGAAAAAAATCTTGTGAGGTGAGTTATTCAATAGAGTCCAGCAGTTTGTACTGATCAAAGTTCTTATGAAGTAATTATCCCAACGGAATTGAGGCTAGAAAAACAGAAGTGCGCACTCACCAGAAGTGCATGGATAATGCGCATGCAGGAATATTAATCCTGGATGGTATTCTGTAGTCAACAGGTGGTGGGCATCCTTCTGAGGTCTGGTCACTCAGCCTGGATTAGGTATGGGATATTCCTAGGTCTAGAGGTCCTCTTTAAGGGTGGATGGGCGCTCAATCTGCATACAGGGCTCCCTCCTCTGGATACTGGATGGTATAAGATTCCGTCAATGGATAAATGATGTCCAAATAGTAACAATCTGGTAGTCTGATGTCCATAAGAAAGTGTACCAAGCATACTGTGTCAATGAGGCAGTCTTCCTGACATGTTTCGTGCACAAGCACTTTACAGAATACCATCCAGGATTAATATTGCTACATGCGCATTGTCCATGCGCTTCTGGTGAGTGCACACTTCTGTTATTCTAGCCTCAGTTATGTTGGGATAATTACTTCATAAGAACTTTGATCAGTACAAACTTGTGGACTCTACTGAATAACTCACCTCACAAGATTTTCTCTACTTCATCTATACATTGAGCGCTGCACTTTATTTGTTCTTATTTATCTCAGTTCTGTTTCATATACTGCAAATGACATATAAAACATGTATAACAGCAGCAAAAATAAGAGCCAAAGTTAAATTAGTAATAAACATAGTAATGATAATAAAACAATAATGTCTTGCAGGTAGCCTTTTATATGAACATCCCACAGAAATAAAAACTCACCATAAACTATAACCGTCGCTGTTGTACTTCTGCGCCTAGCAACAATATTCTTAGCAACGCAGGTGTAGTTGGCTGTGTCTGACAGCCGAGCCTGCTTAATGATGAGATTGTGGTCAATTGTTATGAGGTAATTGGTGTCTTGTGTGGGGTCAATGATGTCTTCATTTTTTAACCATTCCACCTATTGAGTAAGGAGGGGAAGAAAAGAGACGGACGTTTAAATGACAAATAATTAAAACGAGAACACATCACTGGCTGAAATATCAACAACAATTAGTCATCTTTGAACTGCAGAAGCTTGGGGATTATTGCAAATGATTGAAAAGGTTAAACATGTCGCAAAGCAATCCACATTAATTTTCCATTAAGAGCAGCTTTCAATACAGAAGACAAATATGCATATATTGTGTGCAATAACCCTTAAAATAGGAAACTAATGGCTTCTCTAATTCAAGATAAAGAGTTACACACAGGGTTTGGAATCTCTCAAGCAGCTCTGGAGCTTAACATGAAAAGAGAAATACACCATCATCAAAAGATAGGCCAGAGGAAGGAAGAAAAATGGTTCACTTAAAACTCTTATTTTAGTTATGTGAATCAAGTGGACTAAATCAGAAACTACCTTCTTGAATGACTTTGGGACTTCAGTGGCAAGGTCATAAAAACCTGGATTTCAAGGTCTTCCCAACTGAAGTTCCATTTTCTAAGTGGTCTAATTCTTCTTCCTGTTGAATTTTTGCCTCCGTTTACTTAAAAAAAATGCAGTGATAGGAGTGAGACTCCATGCGGGGTGGACCTACCATTTGTGCAGACTGTCCAGCTTCAAAACAACCCTAGAGGACCTAGGGTTCCTTTACTGATACGAGACACTATTCTTCCTTCGGACACTAATGATGGGATACTATTCTTTCTACTGACACCAATGATGGGGCACTATTCCTTCCACTATTATACTATATGTGGTTGGGTGGGTGCTGGTACCCTTCCCATTGCATAAATCTGGAGACTGCTTTCTTCTAGGACTGCTGCAAAGTGGACCTTTTCCTAATGATACACTAATTATGCGTTGTATTATATCCTGGTGGATTGCCTGGATCATTGACACAGTCTTCCATTTTCTATAAAGACCATCTGGACTGGAAGTGAAGGGAGAGTAAAGGTTATCAGAAAGGCAGCTTTCTATCCACTGTATTTAACTAATCAATGTATCTACTGTATATGTCTTATCTATTTATGTATCTTTCTATCATATCAATCTTTCTTATCATTTCAAACTTATCTTTCCATCATACCTCATTTATCCATCTATCCATCATACTGTATCTATTCTATCAATTGTATCCATCTATCCATCATACTGTACCTATCTCACTGTATTTATCCTATCTATCGTAGGTATGTATGGATCTATCCATCTTACTATATCTATTGTATCTATCCATCATGCTTTATCTATTCTATCTATCCATCATACTGTATCTATCTCACTGTATTTATCCTATCTATCGTAGGTATATATCTATCTATCCATCATACTGTATCTAGTCTATCAATTATATCTATTCTATCAATAGTGTTTATCCTATATATCTTATGTATCCATCTATGTATAATATTTATCCATCCTATCTATTCTATTTATTGTGCACTTGGGACACTGTTCCTCTCACTGATACGAGACACTATTCTTCCTTCTAACACCAATGATGGGGTACTATTCTTCCTACTAACATCACTGATGGGGCACTATTCGTTCCAATATTAATGATGGGGTACTATTCTTCCTACTAACACCAATGATGGGGTACTATTCTTCCTACTAACACCAATGATGGGGTAATATTCCTACTGACATCATTGATGGGGACATCCACTAACACACCAATGATGGGGTACTATTCTTACTACTAACATCACTGATGGGGCACATTCCATATTAATGATGGGGTACTATTCTTCCTAACACAATGAACTAACACCAATGATGGGGTAATATTCTTCCTACTGACATCAATGATGGGGCACTATTACTTCCACTAACACCAATGATGGGGTACTATTCTTCCACTAACACCAATGATGGGGTAATATTCTTCCTACTGACATCAATGATGGGGCACTATTCCTTCCAATATTAATGATGGGGTAATATTCTTCCTACTGACATCAATGATGGGGCACTATTCCTTCCAATATTAATGATTGGGTACTATTTCTTCCCACTGAAACTAAAGATGGGGCACTATTACTCCCACTAACACCAATGATGGGATACTATTCTTCCTACTGACACCAATGATGGGGCACTATTCCTTCCACTATTAATGATTGGGTACTATTCCTCCCACTGACACCAACATCTGGCCCCCCTAAAGTCTGAAGTACAAAAAACTGGCCCTTTGTTTAAAATGTTTGGAGATCCCCGATTTGGATGGCATGGAAACTTTAAAAAAAAAAAAAAGATTTGACTACAAGGGTCAGTAGAAGGTGATGCATCCAACCAGCAACTACTAAGTGAACTGTCATTTTTGGGAGGAGAGAATCCTTAAATCAAGGCAAGCCTCACACCTGTTTTTAGGATAGTGCAATCTTACATTAATAAGGACTTTTGGGAGGTGCAACAGTTTACAGGCATTTTTCACTGTCACAGGCATGTAATCTTTATCTTTACTACTCCATGCCAATCTAAAAAGGCCATACACCAAAAGATCTATTCCCCTGATGGTGTAGGGAGGGATATCTGTTAGTCTTGGCCATACTCTAATCTCAGCAAGCCTTAAAGTGGTTGTAAACTTTAAACATGAAATATGAGCAAAGCATATCCCTCTATAGTGTGTACTTGTCTCAGTCCAGAGCACTCATTTCTTCTGCTGCTTTGTTCCCCTGCTATCAGCATGAGTCACTTCTCACAAGTTTTCCTGACATGAAGAGAAAAATGGTAACAGCGGAGTGAGCTCCAGCATGCAGCCTGTGACTGACAGCCTCAGCTGTCTTTCTGTGTGCTGTGTGAAGGGGAATGTGTCCCTTCCCTTCAATCAGCTCACTGAGCTCTGAAAAGTGTAATTTCATCTCCCTGTCACCTTTTTTTGTTTTAACTCTCAGACAAGCTGTATAAATTCAGCACTTTGAACGGATGTAGAGAAGAGAAGACTGCAGATAGACAGGTACAACTTATGTATGAGGATTTGTTCCATCTCTGTGTATCACCTGAGGCCAGGCACTTCACTGGGTATATGTAAGCGTTTACAACCACTTTAATGATCCAGCTGGGCAAGACATATACCTGGATTTAATACGTAATAAAAGAAAAAAACATATTATATCCACATGTAAGGGCAGCTACATGATCACTATGCAATTAGCTTTTTTTTCAGGCAGAATATGATAACCATCATTCAAGAAATGTAGCTGCCCACTTTAGCAACAGACAAGTCTACATAGAAAGCTAATATATACAGTATATTCAAATACATAAGCGTTGTGTCTTTTTTGGGCCTGCAAGTTGTCCCTCAAGAGTACATCAATTTATGTCATGGTAACTTAAAACAATCACTATGGAAGATGACACCCAGATCTATCTCTCCACTCCCCAGCTCACCCCCTCAATCTCACGTATCACAAATCTACTAAGCGACATATCAGCATGGATGTCACATCACTACATTAAACTCAATCTTTCAAAAACTGAGCTTGTAATATTTCCTCCTCCCCAATCCCCTACCCATGACTTTATCATTAAGATCAACAGCACAACCATTGGTCCTTCCCCTCATGTCAGGGTGCTAGGCGTAATCCTAGATTCTGACCTCTCCTTTGGGCCCCACATCCACTCACTGGTTAAATCCTGCCGCCTCAACCTCTGGAACATTTCCAAAATCCGCCCTTTCTTGACCAATGACACCACAAAACAACTTATCCACGCCTTGGTTATATCCCGCCTCGATTACTGCAACTCCCTCCTCACTGGTCTACCGTTACACAGGCTATCCCCCCTTCAGTCTATTATGAATGCTGCTGCTAGACTCATACACCTTACCAACCCTTTTCTGCCAATCCCTTCACTGGCTTCCACTAACCCAACATATAAAATTCAAAATACTAACCACAGCTTACAAAGCCATCCACAACACTGCCCCTAGCTACATCACCAACCTCATCCACAGATACTGCCCAAATCGCCCACTCCGCTCCTCCCATGATATCCTCTTCTCTAGCTCCCTCATCACCTCCTCCCACGCTCGCCTCCAGGACTTCTCCAGAGCCTCTCCCATCCTCTGGAACTCCCTACCACAGCATGTCCGGTCAGCACCCACCCTTGTCTACCTTTAGGCGATCATTGAAAACCCACTTATTCAGGGAAACCTACCCCACCTCCACCTAAGAACTGTACTTGAATCATCTCCACCAGATCATCCCCCGCAGCTATCACCTTTTGTATCACCTCCCCCTTCCTTTAGATTGTAAGCTCCACGAGCAGGGCCCTCATATTCCTTCTGTACTGAAATGTATTGTAATTGTACTGTCTCCCTTATATTGTAAAGCGCTGTGCAAACTGTTGGCGCTATATAAATCCTGTATAATAATAATTTCACCAGACTTGGATGGCTGTTTGAGACAATGCCATATTTTCCTAGAAAATGATTCATAGAAATTCCAGTTGAATTATCTTTGAGCTTCTAAAAATGCTCATTTTCTGTATGACTTAAGTCATTTGAAGTCACAGACCTGTAACAAGCATGCTGCACTCTTTATCTCAATATGTGTTTCAGGTCGGTGACTCAGACAGCATTGAAAGCATCATGTCAGCAAGGAAACTAGCATTATGTAAAGAAAAGCTCAGTAATTGCAATGCCCCTTATTCTCTCATGACAGCTTTTCTTTATCCATCTTCCCTTAGCAGTCCTGCCACTCTGTTGCACATCCAGGGCAAAATCATTATTTTTTTTCCTGTAGTTATTGGGGTGGGCGAGGGGCATGTAACCCTTTCTCTTGGGTGACAGCACTTGCGCTTGGCAATTGGTGGAGAGAGAGCCCTAGGCCCTGTGTACGCTCCAATTACAGGGTTACTTTAAAGGCAAATTGGCAGCAAAACGGTTGTTTTTTTTAAACACAGGAGACACTTGTTCTGTCAAACCCTTAGTAAATGAATAGCTGTGAAAAGCAGCAGTGCAGTTAGACAATAGAATAACTCATTAGTGACTGCATACATATAATGCTACTGAGCAGTAACAAAATGGGCCAGCATTGTGAATTGATTCATCAAAACTAAAGTAGCTGCTTACTAGGATATGGCTCATTTATCTCTCTTATCTTTATGGTTATTTATCTATCACAGCTTTGCAGGTGGTAGCTTCTGTAGGATAGCAACATTATTTTCATCATTTCTGGGCTACCTGCTTTTAATATAACAGCTAATCTTTCCCATTTGAGAAGCAACGGTTGCCAAAAATGCAGCCAATTATTTTCATATCCAACTAGCTATATGCTCAAATTTGATATGTTCAAAACCTTCCTAAATACGGGACCATCACAGCTTTCTTATAAAATGTGATAAGACTTATAACAATTCTATAATGTAAATCAAAGCAAAATAGGAGACTGCAAAGCTATATTGCCTTCTGACAAACTAGCTCCTTTTTAGAATTGGAAAGGTCAACAATTATAATCACAAAACATATTGGGGCAGATTTACTAAGACCAGAGAGTGCAAAATCAGGTGCACAAAAAATGAGCTTCCAGGTTTTATTGCCAAAGCTAAACTGAACAAGCTGAAGTTAGAAGCTGATTGCTTACTACACAGAGCTGCACTAGATTCTGTGTGCTCCAGTTTTAGTAAATCTCCCCCATTGAGACTGCTGGGAGGTTGGCAGGGAAGAAGTCCACAAACATAGCAAACCATTGATATATGACAGCGAATTAAATGTAAAAAAACACATTAAAACCTCAGCAGGTGGAATGCCTTCCGGTGGACGACATTGCAGTAATACTTCTTGTTCAAGAGGTACTTCTTTACCCAGTGGTTCCTGGTCAAAGTTCTTTCTCAGATCTGTGAATATGAAAAAAATACATAAATAAACTTATAAGAAATACTACCTGCTATATAAAACAAGAGTGAAATACTTGTGATAAAAACAAATATTTTCTTTAATTAACCTGCACAAATGAGCTGTCATTATTATTATTATTATACAGGATTTATATAGCGCCAACAGTTTACTCAGCGCTTTATAATATAACGGAAGACAATACAGCAACAATGCAGTTCAATACAAAAGGGTTAGGAGGGACTGATCCTGGGAGCTTACAATCTAAGAGGGAGGGGCTAGTGGTACAAAAGGTAAAGGTCATTATATATTTAAATAATATGCAAACGTTGTGTAAATAGGCAGTTGGCTAAAGGATAGATACCAGAGTGTGGTTGTAAATCGGGTTCATTCAGAACAGAGACCAGTCACTAGTTATGTGCCACTAGACTCTGTACTAGGTCCTGTTCTATTTAATCTATATGTAAGTTATATAACTAAAGGTTTGTTGGGTAAGGAATGTCTTTTTGCTGAGGATACAAAAGGTGTGTAATAGGGTTGATATCGCTGGAGGTGTCTGTAACATCGAACATGATTTGACATTGCTGGAAGATTGGTCAAAAAAGTGGAAATTGCAGCTCAAATGTTTCTAAATGTAAAATTATGCACCTAGCGAAAAAAAGAATCCCGTAAGAGATAGCATTTGGGGGTACATTGTTGGCCAGCACTTCAGAGGAAAAGGAACTGGGAGTACTTATTTCAGATGATTGCAAAATGAGCAAACAGTGTGACCAGGCAGTGGGGAAAGCAAATAGGATTTTAGGACTCATCACTAGAGGGGTCACCAACAGGAGGAAGGAGGTCCTGATTCCCAACTATAGATCTTTAGTTAGACCTCCTTTAGAATACTGTGTCCAGTTCTGGAGACCTCACTTACAAAATGATACTGATAAGATAGAACGAGTCCAGAGAATGGTAACAAAAATGGTGAAAGGTCTGGGGGATAAAGTTCAGGAACTTAACATGTACAGTCTGGAGGAAAGAAAGGAAAGTGGAGACATGACTGAAACCTTTAAATACATTAAGGGGGTAAACAAGGTTCAGGAGGGGCAGTATTTTAAACACAAATCCAAAATCAAGAACACGGGGACATGACCTTAAACTAACTGGAGGAAAGTTCAAAACTAATCTCAAAAGTAGTAATTTACTAAAAGAGTAGTTGATGCTTGGAATAAACTTCCAGCAGAGGTAGTGAGCCAGTCAACAGTAAATAACTTCAAACATGCTTGGGACAAGCATAGATCTATACTCAGACAAAAAAGTTAACAAAAAAAAAAACCCAAATAAAAAAAAAACAAAAAACAACACACCCCTCTCCCCAAAAAAACATAACCCCCCACCCCCAAAAAAAAAAAAACACAGGCAGACTCAATGGACCACTCTGCCGCCACTTTTCTAGGTTTCTTGACAAGAAATTATTGCTATCCTTTGTTATCAGAACTCTTAAATTTATAGCTTCACTACTGATTTAGTTGAAAGGATGAAGTTTGCAAATATAACCACAAGATGGCAATGTTGTCAACACAGCTGGCAACTGGCATTACCTGAACAGTGAATTCCTAGACAAACCATTCTCTAGTACAAAGTTTCTCAACCTTTATTCAGTCAAGGCGCCCTGTAAAATTATGAGCAGTCCCGGGGCACCCTGTAAAATTATGAGCAGTCCCGGGGCACCCTGTAAAATTATGAGCAGTCCCGGGGCACCCTGTAAAATTATGAGCAGTCCCGGGGCACCCTGTAAAATTATGAGCAGTCCCAGGGCACCCTGTAAAATTATGAGCAGTCCCGGGGCACCCTGTAAAATTATGAGCAGTCCCGGGGCGCCCTGTAAAATTATGAGCGTCCCAGGGCACCCTGTAAAATTATGAGCAGTCCCGGGGCGCCCTGTAAAATTATGAGCAGTCCCGGGGCGCCCTGTAAATTATGAGCCGTCCAGGGGCACCCTGTAAAATTATGAGCAGTCCCGGGGCGCCCTGTAAAATTATGAGCAGTCCCGGGGCGCCCTGTAAAATTATGAGCAGTCCCGGGGCGCCCTGTAAAATTATGAGCAGTCCCGGGGCACCCTGTAAAATTATGAGCGGGCCCGGGGCGCCCTGTAAAATTATGAGCGGTCCCAGGGCACCCTGTAAAATTATGAGCAGTCCCGGGGCGCCCTGTAAAATGATGAGCGGTCCCGGGGCACCCTGTAAAATGATGAGCAGTCCGGGGCGCCCTGTAAAATGATGAGCAGTCCCGGGGCGCCCTGTAAAATGATGAGCAGTCCCGGGGCGCCCTGTAAAATGATGAGCAGTCCCGGGGCGCCCTGTAAAATGATGAGCAGTCCCGGGGCGCCCTGTAAAATGATGAGCAGTCCCGGGGCGCCCTGTAAAATGATGAGCAGTCCCGGGGCGCCCTGTAAAATGATGAGCAGTCCCGGGGCGCCCTGTAAAATGATGAGCAGTCCCGGGGCGCCCTGTAAAATGATGAGCAGTCCCGGGGCACCCTGTAAAATGATGAGCAGTCCCGGGGCACCCTGTAAAATGATGAGCAGTCCCGGGCACCCTGTAAAATGATGAGCAGTCCCGGGGCACCCTGTAAAATGATGAGCAGTCCCGGGGCACCCTGTAAAATGATGAGCAGTCCCGGGGCACCCTGTAAAATGATGAGCAGTCCCGGGGCACCCTGTAAAATGATGAGCAGTCCCGGGGCACCCTGTAAAATGATGAGCAGTCCCGGGGCACCCTGTAAAATGATGAGCAGTCCCGGGGCACCCTGTAAAATGATGAGCAGTCCCGGGGCACCCTGTAAAATGATGAGCAGTCCCTGGGCACCCTGTAAAATTATGAGCAGTCCCGGGGCACCCTGTAAAATTATGAGCAGTCCCGGGGCACCCTGTAAAATTATGAGCAGTCCCGGGGGAACCCTGTAAAATTATGGACTGTCCCGGGGTACCCTGTAAAATTATGGAGAGTCTTGAGGCACCTCCTTCTAAAATGTAAAAAAAATTCTAATAGTTTTATATAATGCAGCAACATCCACACATGTAGGGCACCCAACATTAGAGGTGATTTTTTCTTCCAAAGCAAACACTCTTGCACACTGGTACTGAGTAGTATTCCAGTGTTTCTCTTCTCTCTCAGTTTTTCTCCATCCCTGAACTAATGTGACCCCAGCACTGACAGAGAGAGGGCAGGGGAGGGGAAAACTAGGATGCTGTGCAGGCAGATGACATCCTCCTTATCAACTGATGATGTCATTGGTTGCCAGGATGCTGGCGGCTGAAAGATCGTAATGGTGCACAATGAAAACACGTGACTTTGTGTAACTAAAAGGCAGGCAGACTTGTATACAAGTTTTGGGCAATTTTTTTAGACATTTTGCCAAGGAACCCCTGAAGAAACCTCAAGGCACCCTGGTTGACAAAGGCTGGTCTAGTAGAACTATACATGGACTAAACTTACAGGCTATTCTGACATAGGCTCGACGGCTCTTGGTGGTACCGGCTGAGCTCCATGCCACGCACTGACACCAGTAATCCTCCAAACCAAACAGCTCTTCCACCTGCTGCCTGGACACTTCGATTTGGACCTCCCGAACCACGAGACCTGGAAGAAGATCTAAAATGTTAACACTCAAAAGGCTTCTTAATGAGCAGACAAAAAAAACACCATTCATGCGACATTACGTCAAATGGCAAGAAATGACACCGTGATATATGGGCTGACATATAGTAAATATAAAAACATCTGCTTTATAGCGAACTCAATTTTAAAGGGTAATGAAAAACGGTGTATTTCATGGGCAGCATTCATTAGAAAAGGCAGAGTTCTGTAAACGGTATCATCAGGTACCCAAAAGTAAGTGCTGCAACTCAAAGTTAGGTTTGGTTATTTATGTCAGACAGAACAAAAAAGGGGAAAAATCTACTTAGTGGGGACACAGATAACATTTAATAACCTGACAGAGGTTCTAACCCTTCCTCATTCTATCCAAACCTAAAATGGACTTGTACTTCAACATTTAGGCGACATTCACACTAACCAGCATTTTACCATGCAGGCTAGAGCGGTGTCAGTTCTGGCAGGGAACAGTGTGATGAACGTTTCAGCTTGCTTTTTTTCCTCAACTTTATTTGAAGTGTCAAACAGTGACACTTCATTCATGTCACCGCACAGCAGCACAGTGTGTTGTACTGCTGTGCTGTGATGCCATCCACTGCGGTGCAGAAAATGAAGACATCTTTCTTTAGATTGGCTTTCTACTATCAAGAAAGAAAAAAAAAAAAAACACAACATGCTCCCTGTTGTTGAGTAGTGAGGGTCTCCCTGCTTATAACCAGAGAACATCACTACTGAAGTGCATCAATACTAATGCCTGGTACCCATGATGAGAAAATTTGAAAAAAAAAAAAAAAACCCTGCATTTGGAGCGATCATTCGATAATCTGTTCACTAGTACACAGCTTTCGAGAGCCGATCACGACAGTTCATGCAGAAAAATCCAAAGGGACAAGCACGAACAATATTCGTTTAATCAGTATAGTATTCATCCATAAACAAATCGAGTGACCAAGACCGCTGCTGTTCAGAAACAAAAGAACAACCCGGAAGGTAAAAATGGCAACAAAAACAATCTTCAAATACAATGAAAATGTTCTTAAACACAAAAAAACCCATTGCTTTCAGGATGAAATATGTTTACTGTATTTGCTGGCGTATAAGGCGACTGGGTGTAGAAGATGACCCCCTAATTTTCCAGATAAAACATACGTTTTGGGCTATACTTACCGTATAACACTACCCCCCTTCCGAGGCAACACCATTTAAAAACATCAGATTTGATTAAATATACACCCATTAATCTATAAGCCCGCTGGATGTGCGGTAATACTGTATGTACAGTGGCTTCGGTTACATACAGTAAACAGTTATACAGTATACCAAGCTGGCTCAAAACTAACGTCCCTACGGTAATCTGTCAGCAGCCCGGCGGATGAGCGGTAATACTGTATGTACGGTAGCTTCGGCTGCATACAGTATATATACAGTATACCACGCTGAGCCAAGCTGGCTCAAAATGAATGTCCCTAATCTGTCAGCCCGCTGGATGTGCGGTAATACTGTATGTATGGTCACTTCGGCTACATACAGTATACCAAGCTGGCTCAAAACTAACATCCCTACGGTAATCGGTCAGCCCGCCGGGTGTGCGGTAATACTGTACGTACGGTCGCTTCAGCTACATACATTATACAGTATACCAAGCTGGCTCAAAACTATAGTCCCTACGGTAATCTGTCAGCCACCCGGATGTGCGGTAATACTGTATGTACGGTAGCTTCGGCTACATACAGTGTATATATACAGTATACCAAGCTGGCTCAAAGCTAACGTCCCTATGGTAATCTGTCAGCCCGCTGGATATGCGGTAATACTGTATGTACAGTTGCTTCAGCTACATACAGTATACAGTTATACAGTATACCAAGCTGGCTCAAAATTAACATCCCTACGGTAATCTGTCAGCCCGCTGGATGTGCGGTAATACTGTATGTATGGTCGCTTCGGCTACATACAGTATACCGCGCTGAGTCAATCACGGCAAGCAATGTATTCTATTAATGAATACAAAGCCTGCTCGGAGAGTCAGAGAGGTGGGCTGATGATATCACATCATCAGCCAATATGAGCAGGCTTTCTATTCAATAATACATCGCTCGCCGTGATTGGCGCAGTGCGGTATACTGTATGTAGCCGAAACGACCGTACATACAGTATTACCACACATCCAGCGGGCTGACAGATTAAGGATGTTCGTTTTGAGGCAGCTTGGCCCAAACGATCTAAAAGGTTCACAATGTATACCCCGTGTCTAAGACGACCCTCAATTTTTGGGGTATGTTTTTAAGTATAAAAAAGGTGTCTTATACGCCAGAAAATACGGTAATTGCAATAATGGAATGATAATCTTATTGCTACACAATTTTAGTTATAATCTGCAGAGCTCATAAAGATATATCCCCTGTAAATATTTTTTATTGTAATGTTGACATCACTTTTGATTCCACGCTGGTACGTAGCTACGCACACGGAAAGTTGTACTGGATCGCACGAGAATTTTCGTACCCATAATAGCACTCTCGTATTCGATGAGACTAGCATGCAGAAAACCCCAAACGATCATTTGTACAATTTTCTGATCGTGCGTATCAGACATAGGGCCCTGAGCAGCTTGGCTTTCTCCAGCACAATGCAGCTCTGCTTTCCAAGGCTGGACTGCTAAAGTAGTGGCTTCAGCAGTTGTGAGCAGATGAACCTCCACCAATCATCATCGGTAGGTAGGTCAATGGAATTTCTACATTTTGTCTCAAAGTGAAAAACCCTTTGTTATCTAAGGTTGATGTCAGGTGTAATTATGGGGTCTAAATTATGACTTTGTGTAAAAGTTTCATTAACATGTTGATCATGGGAAAAAGGAGAAACCAACTCTAAGTGGTGAACATTTTAGTTACACTTGACCTTCTGGGTAGAAACAAAACTCACCAGACATAGCAGTCACAGGAGGGACTATATGCCATACCTCCAGTTAGCACTGCTTTAGCAGCTTTTTTCTTCACAACAACTGCATTTTTACTAAACGTTTAGCCACATTAATTAAAGCCATGTGCAACTATTCCCTTGAAACATGTAGATACCTTGGAGACTTGTTTCCTGACATGGACTTTTGTTGCTGTGGATGTTCCAGTTAATCCCACTGCACGCCTGTTAGACTATATTAACTCTTTGCTTGTTCCTTTGGGCAACAATTCTGCTTTTTTTCCTTTTCAAAGGTAGCGTACAATAACAGAAGCACATTTATATCCAAATGAAGTTACAGCAATTTGTTAGATGGAAGTGTCACACATTACATTAATATTCCCCATATTTTTGTATTAAATTAAAGTGATATGAACAGCAATAAAAAAAAAACAACACAAACATGTCATATTTACCTGTTGTGTGCAGTGGTTTTGCACACAGCAGCTCCGATCCTCCTCTTCTCTGGTCCCCCGCCGGTGCTCCTGGCCCCTCCCTCCTGTCAATGCCACCAGAGCAAGCAGCTTGCTTTGGGAACACACAAGCAGGCTTGCTCCCAAGCCGTTGCACTGCGTGTCCATTTACACACAGAGCTGCAGCTCTCTCCTCATTGGCTCAATGGCTGTGATTGACAGCAGTGGGAGCCATTGGCTCCCGCTACTGTCTTAGCCAATGAGGAGGGAGAGTCCCCAGAGAGCTGAGGCTCTTGTGCACATTGCTGGATCGCGATGGGGCTCAGGTATGCTGTGGGGGGACTGGTAATGAAGGGGGGGGGGGCCTGCCGCACACAGAAGGTTTTTTACCTTCATGCATAGAAAGCATAAAGGTGAAAAACCTTGAGCCTTTACAACCACTTAAATTTCGATTATAGTCCAAAATGTGGTATTGTTTTTGGAAATACCTCGCTGAGAAAATAGACTGGATTTCGGCAACTGGATGGAGCTGCTGATCTTAGAAATTCATCTATTACAGACAATATGGGGAAATTCATCCAGCCTGCAGGAAGGTGTGACATTTGTCTAATGAATGTTTCATAAATAGATCACTATGAGTGTGACAGAGTCTAAATTATTATAAATATATTTGTTGCAGTAGTGAGGCTGAGGAATGTACATTAAGTGGTAGTAGCCAACGTATCAACCAGGTGAGTGGGGAATTGGGTGCAAATTGACTAACAATTCCACTTTTTACCGGCTATTCAGAATGTGCATAAATGTTTACTTGGGAAAACACACAGTACTCACCTGTTAGATCATCCACCCTCTCCTTAGTAATGTGATCATTCTGATTGACCCATTCCCCATTGCATTTAAAGTAGATCTGTATGGCTGGATTAGCTTTACACACAAGCTCCACTGGCTTGTTCTTTACAATGTAGGCATCTTCTGGTTCCAAGAGGAAATGTGGTAGAGATTCTGCTGGAGCTGAAGGGAAGGAATCTGGTAGGACATCACTGTACTCCACTCCTGCAAAAGAAAAAAAAAATACAAAATATGAAATGTCAAAATTTACTATTGCCATTACTACTACAAACTACTAGCAGGGTCCAATAATGGATGCCAGTGAGGTGATAAATAGTGCTAACTTTGCTCTGTGTATATCATAATAATTAGTTTTACTGGACATAACAGATTCCTTTACAAACGTAACCAATGCAAACAGTGTGGGAAGGAGATTCTTAGGAATTTCACAGCACGCCACATTAATGTTACAGTAAGGAAATACTATTTACGATTTTTCACTACCAGTTTGAAACAAGGTCCATCAAAACATCATGATAGTGGATGAGGGCTCTCTCCAATATTATTTGTGACCATGGAAATTTCCGATTCTGTGCCTATCACTGACCAAAATCATATCATAATCATCCACTGCAAAAATCTGATAATATCACTAGTTCAAGCATTCGGATACAATACCCAGTTGATACGGGTCTCATGCAACATTTAATAAAAGCAAAACAATGTGCAATAACCCAGAGCAGCCAATCAGAAATCAGTTTACAAAAGTAATTTTAAACTATCTATAGATTTGAGTTGATCAGATGACAATCTCATGTCTAGGGGTGGCCCAAGACCTTGCCAGATGACCACTATCTGGCTTTCCTGCAAACTTAAAATATCAGCTCTATAGAATTTTCTGCAGTGGTCTGGCCTGAGAGCAAAGGCATCATGTTCACATGGCTGACCACCATCTGAAGCCTACAGGCAGCTTCAACCCTACGACAAAATTCTAGGTTAGCTTTTAAGGAGTTTAAAGAAGAACTCCAAGAGGTTACTTTGTAGGAAAATACCTCTGTTTCCCATATCTGGCTGCTTTTGTAAAATTCTTACAGTCGTAATTCACATATACCACTGAAAGTTCTGACCTTACAGAGATGAAACTTAAGCAGGCCATACATGAATTCAAATTCTTCTGGTTCAGCAGGGACCGGCCAAACTTCGATCCATGTGTGGCCACTGTGACTAAACAAAAGTCGACCAACCAATTTACTTCTTTTCAACCATCCTTACTTGTTCAGTGCTGCAGGCAATAGACTGATCAGTGTTTTCTGATGGTGGGGGAGTCTCTCCGCTGTCAAAATACAAGGACACAGCAGGGAGGTATTCCTCCATCCACATCTAATGTGTGGATGAGGAAATTGGGTCAGTTTTTTTTTCATTCATCCTGCTGATTAAATGAAAAAAACTGAACCACGTATAGCCAACTTTACATTCCTGGATCTAGTATAGCTCAGCCATTGATAAAATGCCCTAGGGTGCTCAACAATCTCCACTATGGATCACAGACGAGTGGGTAAACTCGTGCCAGCATAAATGAGGCCTAAACAACATAGGCTACATATAGTTGCACAGAAAAATACAATACAAAAATGTCAACAATTTACATTAAAATGGTTAGTACATTTACAAATATACGTAGTAACCATGCAGATTTGTCAAGGCCCATCTGTGAAACATGGTCCCTAACTCTATTCTGACAGAGCGCTCCCAACTAGGGACATACTGTATAGAAATTAATAAATTGAGGACAGGTATACCTGGAGGTAGACCATTTCTCCTTAAAGCTGATTTCCAGATAGTTATGTACTACTTTTGGTAAATGGTCAGATATCTCAATAGCAACATGGGCCAGGTTTGCGCACATACATATGGCTATCCAGAGACACGTCGAGAAGTGCCACTTAGTGTGGAGTACAGGTGACCATCAGGGTAAAGCCGCTGTGGGCAGTCAAGCGTAGTCAGTATGAGAGGTAGGGTCACAGTGCAATGGAGCAAGGAGTGAACATCAAGTTCTGCTACAAATTGGGGAAAACGGAGACGCATGAAATGTTGGCGCAAGTGTAACGGATGGAAGCTGCGAGCAAAAAATGTGTTTACGACTGGTTCAAACACTTTCGCAACTGGAAGTAAACAACTGAGGATGTGCCATGTTCGGATTGCTCGTCGACAAGCAGACATGATCGAGAGAGTACGACAAATGCTGGCACTGACTCTACAAATGATGCCGGAAGAATTGGGCATTAGCAAGGACAAGGCGCGCACTAACGAATATGTAGGTAAGTGGAAGATCTGTTCCCGGTTTGTACCGCACGAGCTGACAGACGAACAGAAAGCAAAATGGATGGAAACCTCTTGAGGTTTCATTACCATGTGTGACTAGGATCCATCCCTTCTGTGAACCATCATCACAGGGGATGAGACCTGGTGCTACCAGTTTGATTCAAAATCCAAGCGGCAATCGAAGGAATGGCGTTCACCATCTTCCTGGCCCAAAAAGAGTCGCCTGGAAAAGTACAAGGTCAAGACAATGTTGGCCGCATTCTACGAGGAAGTTTTGAAACGGTTGGTATGCTGCATCAGCCGTGTTCAGCCAGAGTTGCACGGGACTGGACAATGGATATTGCTGCATGTTAATGCGTCTGAGCACTGTGCGATCCATGTGCGCCAATTCTTCCCACTGCGGTGTACTTGTTCTTGATCATCCACTCCCCTGATTTGGCGCAAGCAGACTTTCTGTTTCCCCGCTTGAAGAGCATTATGAAGGGCGCACATTTTGAGGTCATAGTAGCAATCCAAGAATGTGTGACAATCAGTTACTAAAGAAGCCTTTGCTGACAGTTCCCAGAAGCTATATGAACCTTGCCAAAAACGTGATGTGCAGCATGGCGATTACTTTGAAGGCCAATAAAAGTAATGTCTTTGTATCTTCTGTTTTGTTTGTTTTCTGATAACATTCACCGAACTTTTTAGACACACCTCTTATGTCCTTTGGAATATTCAGTAGGGTTTGCATGTTTTTGAACTGAAACTTTGTCCCTAAACTCTCTATATATGATGGGGGTAATACAATCTGGATTTCTGTGCTGTATGCATATTCCGGTGCTGTGGCGTAGGCCTGAGCAGTAGATTTGTACTGAGAAGATGTTAAGTTTTAATAAGTGGTGCATTGTACCTATGATCTGGGAAATGATGCCCCAAGGCTATGTTTTGTACTTACAACTCAAATTTAAATAAATTGAAGTTTTATATATATATATATATATATAAAGCTGTTTTTTTTGGGGGGGGGGGAAATCCTCCCTTGCACTGGGGCTGTTCTTGCATCGCATGGCCATAATTGCCAACTGTCATGGATTGCCCATGACGGTCATGAATATTTGAATGAAGTCCCGCCATCACTCAGTCCCGGCCAATGTCCCGGAAAACTGAGATCAGGGTGCGGGGCAGCAGCAGATAGTGCTTCTGCAAGAGCCTAGTATAGCAGTTAAAAAATTTAAAACTTTCCTGGTCCCATTTGCTCAGTGGGAAAAAGGGACCGCAGCACACTGGGGACTATTTTACCATTTTCAGGAGCGGCGGAGTAATCTGCAGTGCCGCTGCTTATTATTAATAAGCTAAACTCCTGGCCACTTTTGTATCAATCGCCCGAGCAATGTAGAAGAGGCTGGGAAGTTACCGGTCACAGTGGATTGCTTAAGCTGCTGGGCAGGGAGGGACTGCATTGTTTGAGGCATTTTGTGTGGTCGTTTTGCCAGGGTTGAAGCGGTCGGGGTCTAATGCTACGTGTGGTTAGGAGTGCCAGGGAGTCAAGGGCAGCTGCCGGGTGGAGATGGGTCGGATTCAGATTGCGGAGGTTGCGGGTGATGGTTAGATGCTTCGGGGGAGAAGTTGAGGGAGGGGGAGATGGAGAGTGTGAGGAGGTGGTGGTCAGAGAGGGGGAAGGGGGTGTTAGTGAAGTCGTGGGGGGTGAAGAGGTGGGAGAAAACGAGGTCCAGGGTGTTTCCATTGGAGTGGGTGGAGGACTGAGTGTGCTGTGTGAGCGCGAAGGAGGAGGTTAGAAGGAGGAGTTGGGAAGTAGCCGGGCTGTTGGCGTTGATCGGGATATTGAAGTCGCCTAGGATGATGGTCGGTAGCTCGGAGGAGAGGAAGAAGGGAAGCCAGGCGGCGAAGTCGTCTAGGAAGGGGGATGCGGAACCAGGAGGACGATAGATTACCGCAATCCTTAGGGGGGTGGGAGAGAAGAGCCGGATGCAGTGGGCCTCGAAGGAGAAGGATAGGGAGGGGGAGTAAGGGAGGACCTGGAAGGTGCTCAGCAGTGGTAGGAGCATACTGACCCCTCTGCCTCTGCGCCCACTCGGTCTGGGTGTATGGGTCCAGACGAGGCCTCCATAGGAAAGGGCAGCAGGGGAGGTGGAGTCAGTGGCTTGGATCCAGGTTTCGGTGACCGCTAGGAGGTTGAGGGAGTGGGAGACAAAGAGGTCAAGGATGGCGGTGAGCTTGTTGCAAACCGAACGGGCGTTCAGGAGTACAACCGAGAGGGGAGGGGTGGATGTGGGGAGGAGGGGGACAGATATGAGATTGAGGGGGTTGCGGTGGTTGGCATGAGTAGGGGGGTGTCGGGAGAGGGGAGTGGGGAGATGGGGGGCCAGGGTTCGGGGAGATGTCACCAGTGGTTAGGAAGGAGGGTGAGGAAGGTGGCATGGGAACGGGAGGTGCAGGAGCACGTGGGTCTGTTGGTGGTGGCATGTGGGTCGGCGGGGGAGTGGAGTATCAGGAGGAGGTGGTGAGAGCCATAGAGGGGGGGAAGGAAGAAGTGAGGGTGCGATGTAGAGCTGTTTTGGGGGAGTAGGGGGGTAGAAGGGGCAAGTTTGGGGATGGAGGAGAGGAGAACGAGGTGGAGGAGTGCAGGTGGCATGCTAGGGTGGGCAGAATGCTGATCGGGTCGGAGAGGAGGGAGGTTTCAGTCAGGACGTGAGGATGGGGAGAGTCCGTTAGGCCATGTCGGAGTTCATCAGTGTCCATTCGTGGGAGTGGCTGGGCGGCTGGGGCCGCGGCTGGCTGGTTGCAGTCTGTGGGTGCAGTAGGCCGGCGTCTGCGGGGTGTTGTAGCGCGGCGTCGGTGTAGCATTGTTCTGACTGTGAGAAATTGGACAGTGTAGTTTTAAACTCAATTTCTCACAGTCTCAGTGCTTGCTGATGCCATCACTAAGGCCCCACTTAGCGCGTCACATTTTTGATG